TCCTTTTCCTTTTCTTTCTTTTTTTCTTTTTTTTTTTTTTTTTTTTTTTTTTTTTTTTTTTGGATTTCCCTTCTGCATCCCTGCCTTCTCACATGTAGACCCCCCCTGCTTTTCCAATTCTCTTGCTTTACCTACCCCCCGGAAACAGGTCTGGGCTTTCTGCTTCCTCAAAGGCTGTCCAACCCCGATGTCTTGCGTGCCTTCCCTATGACGCATGCCATCCCTCCGTGCCGAAGGTTGCTCCCACGTCACTCGCGAAACAGAACCTGGCGTCAAGCATCAAGCAGGCTGCCCTCCCGGAAACGCACAGCTTTTGGTCCCTTCCTGCTATAAACCGACTTATACCCACCACCTGCCCCGTCTCACATTTCAACCCTTCCCCTACATCAACCTCGACTTGGACCTTTTGTCCATTAATACCAGTACCAAAACTAAAACATTACGATACCCGATACCCAATACCCGATACCCCCCCGCACTCGTCCGCGTCTAATCGTCGTTTGCTTTTCCAAGTTAAGGAACGATATCCGAACAGCCAGCATCCTACCCGTCTCGCCTCACGGTTTTCCATTTTTCAGTTTTTTTTCTTTTTTTTTTCAGTTTTCCTGTGATACCCAGCAAACGTACCCACAGACACCCTAATACCTTTGCGTGCCCTTTGATTCCAGTTCTTTAACCAGTCAAGATGGCAACCGTCAACGGAAAAGCAAACGTCAACCGACCGGTTGATTCCAAGCAGAAGGAGGCCGATGTCAACCGTAAACTTCAGTTCTACGGAATCGCCAGCGCTTTCCAGTACGGGAAAGTTCCTTCGGTACACCCACCTTCAACGCAGTCGCAGTTGAGGTATAGGCCATGCTGACTGTTTTCTTGTAGAACGACCAAATCGATGTTGCGTTGAACAGCTTCCTCCAGTCCAAGGCGCTCGCAAACCCATCCAAGAAGCTCTCTCCAGAGGGACAGCAGCTCGTTGCCGATTTCAGGGAGGTTGTGAAAGAGGCCAAGAATCTTCTGCTCTCCAAGAATGAGGGAAACCTCCTCCAGGATTTCATTTGGCAGACACAGCAGTTCAACCCCAAGGCTGTCAGCCTCCCTGGTGCCCCTGTGGATAAGGAACAGGCCCAGCAGCATGGCAACCAGGCTCTCGAGGGATTGCGCACTTTGGGCACTCTCATTATCACCAACGGCCAGTTCCGCAAACTGCGTAAGTTGAATTTTCCAGCTTGGTTGTAGAGATTTACCCGATAAAAATGCTAACAAACACCAGTCAAGGATGCCACTGTCTTGCTCCGTGATATCGCTGGCGATGCTGCTACCACTGCCGCCGCTCGCGTGAGGCCTTCCCAGGAGGATCTTCAGCAGCTTGATGCGCCCGCTCCTGATAATACTTGGCACGAGAAGCCTGATTTTTCCCGCGATCAGGTGAAGAGCAAGTTCGGCAACATTTACAAGGGAAACCCCAAGGAGGACGCCAAGCATGTCTTGGGCGAGGCCACCTCTGCTGCTCACCCTGATGGATCGGCCGACCCCAGAGATTTGGCCAACACCGCTGCTCATGATGGCCGCACTGGCGCCTCTTCCGGTATTGACGCTGAGAAGGGTCTCTCTTCTGCTGCCAACACGGCTCAGCGCAAGCTTGACCAGAACCTTGATGATGAGACCAAGGAGAAGGCCAAGAAGAAGAAGGAGGAGTACAAGGCCCGTATGAGGGAATACTTCAACAAGAAGGTTCCCCAAGAGCGTCGCGAACAGACAATCTGGCGCTTGAAGGTATGCTTGTGACGAGAAGTGTTGATTCCAACTGACAAATTGCTAACATATTATGAAGAAAATGATCGTTGAAATCCAGCAGCACCCCGATTACCACCGTGCGATCACCACTTTGCTCAACATCGCCGAGGAGTACGGTAGCCACGCCAACAGACTTGCTCAGGGAGGCACTAGTACTGTGAAGGATACGCGTAACGCTTTGGCCCAGGCCGAGGGTGATCTCAAGACCCTTATTGAGCGCTTCGCCAATGGCACTTCCACTGATGATCTGTGGGCTTCCATCAAGACCATCTATGAGGATGCCGACAAAGATCCCGAGTTGAAGAACTGGTTCAAGGCCATGAACAGCTTCATTCGCCGCTGCCTCCAGGAGGAGGGTTACATCCTCGATGATGCTTCCAACGAGGAGTGGAACCGCCTTTACGACCAAGGCAACTACCTTCTCCGCAACAAATATCGTGCCCACACCGATCGCGTTATCGATGAACTCAAGTTCTTGGCCGATCAGTTCGACCATGATCCCCAAAACAAGAGCTTTGCGGCTTCCCTGAACAAGTTGTTCACTGATCTTGGCAACGATGAGAATGGCAAGCCTACCTTCAAGCCCCATCTCGTCAAGGATCTGACAGACGTGGTCATCCCCGCCATGTTCGAGAATATCGCTTACATTCCGGTTCCCCGTATCGAGTACTCCGATCACCAGATCGACGCCGTGATTGAGAACCTTGTCCTTGAGAGCGACAACTTCATGCCCAATGTCCTCGAAGTTGCTAGTGAAAACTACCTGCGCTTTGGTCGCAAGAAGATCGCCAACAAGAAGAATATGTCCGTTGACGTCAAAGTTGCCGGTATCCAAATGGATCTGCGCGACGTGAGCTACTACATCAAGCGGAAGCAGGGCTTCCCATCGCTCAGCGACACTGGTATTGCCAACATTTTGCTGGAGGGTGACGGCTTCACCTTCCGCATGAAGATGTCTTCGGCCGATGCTAAGGATAGGCAGAACTTCTTTAAGATTGACAAGGTGGATGTTGATGTCAAGCACTTCCGTATCAAGTTGATCAAGTCCAACCACAAGTTGCTTTTCAACCTCTTCAAGCCCATAATGCTCAAGGTTCTCCGCCCCGGTCTCCAGAAGGCTCTCGAAAAGGCCATCCGTGATCAGGCTACCAGACTTGACAGCATCCTGTACGAGGTCAAGCAGGAGGCTGATAGGGCTCTTGACGAGGCTCGCGAAGATCCCGAGAAGACTCCCAACATCTACAAACGCTATGTCACAGCGGCACAGAAGAAGGTCCTCCAGGGCAAGCAGAAGGCCGAGGGCACTGTTGCTGACAAGAAGATCAACTATGCTGTTACTAAGGAGGACAGCATCTTCCCCCACATCAGCCTTCCTGGCGGAATCAGCTCCAAGGCCACGGAGTACAAGGAGCTCGCTCGCAAAGGCGACAAGTGGGAGAGCCCCGTGTTCTCGATTGGTTCTGCTGGAAAGAGCCACGACATTCCCCCCGCCCCACGTGTTGTCCGCAAGCCGCACTCTACCACTGGCACTGGCACTAATGGTGCAGCCCACGGCACTGGCAACGGCCACGCGCTCCACGGCGGTCCTGGCATGAACGTCGGCAATGGTAGCTTGAACATTGGCAACGATGGCCTGAACCTTCCCGGTGCCAACTACCTTCCTGGCGACCCTGCTGTAAGCGGTTTTGGAACGAAGAATGTCGGCAGCGCCCCTAACGGCCGCGCTACTGTTGGTGTTTGAAGACATGACGAGATGACGTTTCCTTGGAATGAACCTGGAAAGCTGGCTTTGCAAAACTAATGATTGAATGCCGCTGAATATGGATAGGAGGAATTCTGAAAGGTACATGGTTTATACCCATTGCAATTTAATTGTCGGAGGAAGCAAGTCAAAAAAGTACCCAGGGCGGAGGGAAAACGAAGGGATACCCAGAGACTGCGTAGCACGGTTCGATTGGCTTTACTGAGCACCTAATTTTTCCTTTGTAAAACTTTGGTACCGGTTTATTAACCCCTCACTCCCTACGAAACTTCAAGAAAAGAAAGATAGTCGATTAATTCCACTTGTCATGCAAAAACCTCCTGGTGTTCTTTGTGATGGTCGGTCCTTGTACTCGTGTAAGTGTTAGTGCAAGAAAGTCAACAGTTGGGTTAGGGTTATGTGAGGGTTTATCATAGTGCCAAGTGTTAGGTAAGGGCGATGCTGTAGCCTGGCCGCCCCTGTAACCCGCAGCACGTCATATAGTGAGCTCTGCTCCAGGCAACAACCGCGTCCTGAACAATGAACTGGATGAGAAAAAGAACCGACATACTGGATTCAGCTGTGCCCTTCGAGACTGTTCCGGTTCATTGAATTTCAGGACTTTTCTTTTCTGCCGCATTTTTTCGGGCATTTGAATTGTTTTCAGTGCTCATCAATTCATGTTGGATGATTCGATACACCCGGACATGTCTTGAATCGCCTTGAAAATACAGCCATATAGGTAGCGAGTGTGAGAGGTCATTACATAGTGACGCCTTCACCATGAATACCAACAGGCGATCCAGATCACCAGATGAGGAGGCATTGGAAGAGGACCAACATCAGTACGGGGCAGGTACTCTAAGCCTAGAAGAACTCGATGAGCAGTGAGTTCATATCCCCAAGCAAATCCCAAGATATGTCCAGGTCACTCATCCAAGAATACAGCTTCCCTAACAGACCACGAAACCACTCCAAAACCTTCCCATTCTCTGACCTCTTTCGGACCCTCTTCAACCCTCTCATTGACTGCAAACCCTCAACCTCTGGGGGTACGGTGCGCGGCCCCAAACCAGGACGAGGCGGCCACTTCTCCAAGGTCTCCTACCATGAACAGCGCCGGCACATCATCGAGCGCTTCATGTCGCGCTGGCGGTCCGAAGTTGGCAACGATTTTTACCCGGCCATGCGCCTCATCCTCTCCGACAAGGACCGCGACCGCGGCGTGTATGGGTTGAAGGAGAACACCATCGGCAAGCTGCTGGTCAAAGTCATGAAGATTGATCGGAACTCGGAGGATGGGTATAACCTCATGCACTGGAAGCTTCCGGGGAGCCAGAGTGGGGTAAGCCGGTCTGTAGGGGACTTTGCGGGGCGCTGTTTTGAAGTGGTCAGCAAGCGCGCGATGCGTGCTCAGCCGGGGGAATTGACGATTGCGGATGTTAATGTCCTGTTGGATCGCTTGGCGGCGGCAAGCGGGGAGGCCGAGCAGTTACCGATCTTTGAGGAGTTTTATCGGCAGATGAATGCGGAGGAGATGATGTGGTTGGTGAGGATCATATTGAAGGATATGAGGGTGGGCGCCACGGAAAGGACGTTTCTGAACCTGTGGCATCCGGATGCCGAGGCGCTGTTTAGCGTTTCGTCGAGCTTGCGGAGGGTGTGTTGGGAGCTGTTTGATCCAGAGTTTCGGCTGGAACAGCAGGAGACGGGGATTAAGCTGATGCAGTGCTTTCAGCCGCAGCTGGCGCAGTTTCAGATGACAACGACGTGGGAGAAGTTGGTGAAGAATTTGGGGGTGACGGAGGAGAACCCGGAGTTCTGGATCGAGGAGAAGTTGGATGGCGAGAGGATGCAGATGCATATGATAGAGGATGATACTGTGCCCGGAGGATTTCGGTTTGCCTTTTGGTCGAGAAAGGCGAAGGATTATACTTATCTCTATGGTGAGAGCTTGGAAGATGAGCAGTCCGCTCTGACACGGCATCTGCACAAGGCCTTTGACGACGGCGTGCGGAATTTGATTCTCGACGGAGAGATGATTACCTGGGATATCGATATCGACAAGATGGTGCCCTTTGGAACGCTCAAGACGGCCGCGTTGGAACAACAGAAGAACCCTTCTAAGGCTGGTCCTCGCCCGCTCTACCGTGTCTTTGATATTTTGCTGCTCAACGACAAACCACTCACCGAATACACCCTCAACGACCGGCGGAGAGCTCTCGAGCGTGCCGTCGTCGGTGTCCACCGCCGCTTGGAAATTCTTCCCTTCGAGCGAGCCACCTCCCCAGACGCTATTGAGCCACTCTTGCGACGAGTCGTGGCCGAAGCATCGGAGGGTCTTGTCCTCAAGAACCCACGCTCTCGCTATTCACTCAACAGCCGTAACAATGACTGGATCAAGGTTAAACCGGAGTACATGTCCGACTTTGGCGAATCGCTCGACTGCGTCGTGGTGGGCGGGTACTTTGGCTCCGGCCGGCGCGGCGGCACGCTCTCCTCCTTCCTCTGCGGTGTGCGCGTATCCCAGAACTTCATCAAAAGCGGCAACGCCAGCGCCGAGAAGTGCCTCTCCTTCGTCAAAGTAGGCGGCGGTTTCAAAGCGGAGGACTACGCCGAAATCCGGCACCACACCGAAGGCAAATGGCAGGACTGGGACCCTTCCAGTCCACCAACGGAATACATCGAGCTCGGCGGCGGGGAAAAGTTACAGTACGAGAAGCCGGACGTGTGGATCCGACCCAGCGACTCGGTCGTCATCTCGGTCAAGGCCGCCAGCATCACACAATCGGACCAGTTCGCCATGGGCTGGACGCTGCGATTTCCACGCTTCCGCAAACTGCGGCTGGATCGCGCGTGGGATTCGGCGCTGGACATGGACGAGTTTGAAGTTTTAAGATCCAAAATCAAGGACCAGGAACAGGAACGGAAGAAGATGGAGATGGAGAACCGCAAGCGGAAACCGGCGACCAAGCGAGCGAGGAAGGACCTAGTTATTGCGGGGATGTCTGATCCTTCGTCTTCTTCTGCTGCTACACCCGTCATCGCCCCGAGAGAGACAAGAGAAGCGAGCGAACGGTTGTTTGAAGGCTTGGACTTTTGCGTCCTTTCGGATTCTCTGAAACCAAACAAAATGGCTAAACCGGCTTTGGAGAAACTAATCAAAGATCACGGTGGTCGTATTCACCAGCAGGTTGTGGACCACTCCGGTCAGGGGAAGATTATCATCCCCATAGCAGACAAGAACGTGATCAAAGTGGCTAGTCTGAGAAAGGCCAACCCGGAGATGGACATCGTCCGGCCTAAATGGATCTTTGATTGTCTTGTGCAGCCGATTCTTTTCACGAAACAAAAGGAAAACAAGAAGGGTTATCTCCTCCTCTTCGAACCCACCCACCTCTTCCACTCCGGCAGCGAAGAGACGTCAGAAGAAGCGGAACAAGCAGTGGATAGATACGGCGATAGCTACGCCGGGGACTTGGCAGACATAAATGAGTTGAAGGCGATCATGGAGGGTATGGAGTCTGATGATTATGTGTCCGATTCCGACTGGGATTCGGATCCTGGCAGAGGAAGAGGAAGAGGCGACGGATTTGACATGGATCATTTCCTAGATCACTTGGAAGAGCAGGGGACTTCGTTGGATGAGCTACGGTCGTTCATGTTCCGGAGGTGTCGGGTTTTCTTTGCTTTACCCAGTGCTGGCAACGGAGACGGGGCAGCAGAAAGTAAAGCCTCAAGATTGAAGAACTATATACGATTTGGGAACGGGAAGGTAGTTGACGAGCTGGAGACGGCGACGCATGTCGTTGTCGTGACTGCTCCTTCTGGGGAGAGTTCAAAGAAGGAAGGGAGAGAAATGGCGGCGGAAATAAGGTATAAAATCAGCTTAAGAGAGATGGGAAGTCCGATGCCGAGGATCGTCAAGGGGGAATGGGTGGAGGACTCGTGGAAGGAGGCGACGGTGGTTGATGAGGAAGAGTATGTGGCTGGGTGAACTCGACATCTACTGTCTGCTGTGTAGGTGGTATCTGAGGTTCTTTTGATGTCATCTTGGGGTTGACGGGGTAATGGATGACTTATGGCCATGTTACTACGTTTCTAAGCTTTATTTGGCACAATGGGGTGTCTGCTAACAGGTTTGGTTGATACAGGGTGATAGTTTACCATGGAAACCAACCTTGTTTGTTTACCCTTTGCAAGTCACCACGCTCAAGGCGACCATCTTGAAGGTTGCTTTGGGACCGCTTTGGTGTCTGCTTATGCCTTCTGTTCAGGAGACGTTTTGACTTCACTTTGCTAAACGTGGACATTAACCGTCCATGTTGAACAAAGGTACTCCTTTCTGTTTATTCTTGCGCTATTTGGTGGTCTATCCCTTCTCCTTCCGACCCACCTCCTCTTGAGGACAGAGGAGTTGCTGTTGTCATATCCCTTTTCTTAGGCCCTTGGGGCTGTTAATCTGTCATTTGGTCAAAATCCAACGTCCCTGCTCTCATGACCATCTATGCTTAACTCCCGCTTGTCTTGGTATGTTGAGTTCTTTCTCGCGTTGTAGTTGTGCTTTTCTAACCGTGGTACGGTGAATAGTTTCTGCATTAATTTTTGTGGAGGTCCCATCCCTTGTGAATCTGCTTGTGGAAGGAGAAGTGGAATTTATAGCTGACAACATCCATCTGAACTTTTGATGGACTGCTGTATATGGACTGTTGGAGGGAGCAATGCTCAACAACGGATTTTGGAAGAGTGGCTCAGAAACGAATCTCGAGATTGAGTAAGATACGACCAAGAACCCTTCCGAGATAGCTACAAGGTAAATGGCCGAAGTATATCGACACTATTACCGAGTGTCTTTGGGCTGGTGAGGCTTTGGAATCGCAGACAAGACTCAATTTCAAGCTGAATGCGCATAATGGTCGGTCAAGAGTGGGTGTGTACAAGTTCCAGTGTTCTTGCTGGTTGGGATAGTGTTCCCAAGACGAGTGACGAGTTCTTGGAACACATTCGAAATTCCACACGTAACCCATTATCAACTGCTACATGAAATTCTTCCGAAGAACATCTTCACTGGCATTTCTGAATTCTCCATGCCCAGTTTCCCCCAAGTCAATCCCTGGAAAGGCCACTACCAGTCTTGGGTCACGGGGGCCAAAGCTTGGCATCTGATTACGTTTTGACATCGGACAGACACTCGGAATTTTGAAAATATTTTACGCGAAACTTTCAAAGATACCAGACATAGACGGAATTGGCATGTCAAAGAGAAGAGGAGAGACCAAAATTGAAGTTCGTTGAGGGTTGTTTTTGTTGGTGATATAAAGAAAAAGAGGGTGGGCACGTAATTGCTTTGGGGGAAACCGGTTCACGAGGAATCCTCCACTGCTGCCACTTCTTGCACCAATTTCCTGAAATACTAAGGGCATATGAATATTAGATGTGCCTCGGCGGTAGAGAAGTTGACTTTGTGGGTGATACTGATACCGGCAGCTCTACTGAAAGCTGCTGTGGGTCCGAAGGAAGATGTCACAGTGTGATGCCATGGCCGAAATCCTATACCACAATATTGTTTTATGTATTGAAAGATTCCCCGTGTTGGGGATCACGTCCAGATAGTCCTGATTCATCACTCCAGATCGTATTCAGATCCTAACTGTCACTAGTCAAGACCGAGATTCAGCTGGCGCCCATGGTGTCCTGGCCAGCAAGAACCAGGCCGGGGGCCAGGCGACAGTGTTTTCGGTCTACATGTAAACAAACCTCCCAAGTCATCTCTCACTTCATTTTCAACATCATACCACCGGCCCAGTATTTTAACCTTTACTTACCGCCCCACGCGAGGTACCTTCCACTCTACCTCTTTGCGCAGACCCTCCTTGCTGCCAAGCTTAACCTATTGTAAACCTTATTCAATCAACTGTCCCTTGGTCCGCACAATACCAACACCTTCACTGAAACCAACCACCCCGCCCCCTTTTTGGTGTTTTCTTATTCTGGAAAATCGTCAATAAGTTCGTACCTCTCACAGATTTCCCCCTCGGCCTTTTAAAAGCTTTCCCCAACCATTACCAGCAACTCACTCGCAACAATCGCTTTCTATCTTACCAGACTTGGATCAACCCATTTTGCACTTCTATCGTCTTCGGCATCTAGTTCTCTTCACGAAGAGAAGCTCAAAGCAACTATCTGCTACTACAACTCTCACGTAACGCACCAACACAGCACATCACCGTTCTCTCAACGACACCATGGATCAGACTGCGTCCAATAAATCCGCCACCATGGACAAGACCGCCCTCAAGAAATGGTAAGCCATACTCAACACGTGTTTCCTTTCACATCCGTGGCAGACAACCGTCCCTTGGCGACGTGGTATTGATGTCTAGCATCCAAACCACAATCATCCACTTCTCCAAACACCGGCAGCCACGCGCTTCTTTCCCTTTAACCCCTCTCTTTCATCATGGGATGTCCTGACCTACCTGACATCTCGCTAACTCATCACCTCGTAGTATTCTCGCCATTGACCTTGGCAGCACCGCGCTCCGTGCCGCTTTTGTCGAGTGCGAAGCGCCTTACACTTTCCATCCAGTTCAAAACAGAGATGTACAAGCCAATAAAGACGCAGGCGCAGCTGTCACGTGTAGGGGTGACTTTCCTGTCTCTTGCTGCCCCCTCGACCCCAACGATCCCTTTGCCAGGATCGGGGCCGACGCCGCCTCCGAGCCTGGCCATGTATCCTCCAAGTACCTGATGTACATCCTCGCCAACGTTGATGAGTCCGTCATGGCCGATTATCCTCTCTCAGCAGACCTGATGGCCCTTAAAGAGGATACACAGCTCCGTGAAGACTGCCGAACCATCTTAGCCATACTGTTTGGACGCCTGAAAGAGCGCGTGGACGATTACACCAAGAGAAAACATATGTTTTTCGACGAAATCATCCTGACCGTTCCCAGCCAGTGGGACGCACGTTTCGAAAATGTTTACGAGTCTATTATCACGGAGACTTTCGCCTATCGCAACGAAGAGGGCCAGAAGATTAAGAAGGACGTCCACTTCTGTGGTGAGGCTGATGCGTTAGCGCGATATATCATTCTTCACGAGGAAAGGGAGCTCGAAGACTGGGATGTTGTCCTCTTCCTCGACTTTGGAGGCCACTCCACGTCTTTTGCCACCATGGAACTGAAGAGAACCAAGAGCACTGGAGGCTCTGGCAACTCTAGTATGACCTTTCTGGAGCTGGACTCTGGCGGCTGTGCCGGTGGAAGCGAGATGTGGTCTCACCAAGTTGGCCAGTTGATTAGCGAAAAGCTTGCGGAGACTGAAGTGGCAGATACCGATGAAAGGAAGAAGTTCAAACTACTTGGTGATTTCAACACCAAGAAAATTGGCTTTCTGGATCAAATTACGGCGGGTAGTCTTCTCCCCCTTGTTTGCTTCGATGAACATGCTACCCTCACCACTGTCAGTCTACCACACGAGGAAATTGAGCACTGCTTCGACACGGCGCTTGAGAGACCATTCGCAATGGCCAAAGAGCAGCTCAGGAAGTTGAAGGGTTATAGCGGAGACAAGAAAATCGGCGTGGTGGTAGCCGGAGGAACTCTCCAGAGCAACAAAGCAAGGGAAGCAGTCTTTGCCGACTGCGATATCCCGGAAGAACGAATCAAGTATACGACCGAGATCGACGTCACTTGGCTTTCATCGTGCAACTGTCACGGCGCAGCATTGGCCCATGTGAAGAAGCTGACGGTGGCCCAGTTTTTCGAGCAGGGCGCAGTGATTGCTCTTCAGCAGAAGGTTGGGCCTGTACACGATGCTGAATGGGAGGATGTCGCATATCTCTTGGTCGGACATGATAACAAGCATACGGCGAGCGTGTATAACAGATATACGGGCACGGAGATGAAGCTTGTCTGCAACCCCAACTATACTCAGGAGGCTGCGACAGACAAAAACAAGAATGGCAACGTCGGCGAAGCTGGAACAAGTGCTGGTTCAGCCAGAAACGCGACAGACAACAGCGATTTGAACCCTAACACCAATGTTCTCATCCCAATCGGGGATTGCTACGACCTGTGGCACCTTGGCTCTCACTTGGCTGGAAGACTTGTGGTCGAGGCATCCTTGACCTCACCAAGCGGTGCTGCATCTTCTGAGAGGACTCTCCATGTTTCCATCAGCCGCAAAAATCAGCGAGCTGCTTCAGGAGATAAGGTTGAAGACCTCCCCCTATTCCTCGATCCCGGACACAACGCTGTCCATGTAGATGTTGACGCACTCGGCCCTGAGGCGGCCAACCGGCAAGCGGCGTTGAGGCAGCGTGAAGAAGAGCGTACCCGACCTGAAAAGAAGACAGCAGAGGCTCCAGCTGAGCAAGGCTCTGTAGTCAGGCCTGGCAGTTCTTCTAAGTCGGCTACAGCAAAGGCATCTAGGAACAAGCGGAAACGGAAGGACACAAATGCTGCTCCTGCTCAGCCCAGCAAAAGGCCGCGAACCCGTGCCGAACGTGCCGCTCTTGCCCAAACATCAACTGATGACGAGTTGAAGCAACTTCCCTACTATGCCCCCTCTGTGTCGCGCAAAAGAAAAGCGACTGCCCCCGCTTCCTCCACAGCAACGAAGAAAGCACGAATTGCTACCACCACCCCCCAGCCCAAAATCAACAGTAGTTCTGACAACCAGTCAGACCAAGTCCTCCAAGGGCAGCCCCAAGGGCAACCCTCTACCCATGATGTGTCCCGGCACAACGACGAGGACACACATGACCATATTGATGACCAGCTCGACAATGAGCTGGATCAAAACCATGATCTTGCCGTCACAGCGAGCGGCCCACCCCTTTCCCCTGAGCGCAACAACTCCAACAACAACCTCAACATCAACGGCAGCACCTCCCGTTCCACTCGAAACCGAACCGCCGCGAACGCCAGGGGGGCCATGGCTACAAGGGCTAGGTCCGATACCCCTGCTGCGAATGCCGACCGGCCGGCAACAACATACACCAACGGCAGGTTTGCCACGAGAAGCAGCCCGCCTAATAGACAACGGACAGAACCCCTTCCGGAACAACGTGGGCAACCCCAGCCCAGGCGATCAACTCGCTCAAAAAATGGGAAGTCTCCGGTAGCTGCCTCGCCAGCTTCCACACAACAAGGGCAAAAACCTCAACAACCTCAACAAGGGCAAAAAGACCCTGAAATCCCTCCCCAACCCCGACCACAACCACAACCACAACCTCAACCTCAACCTCAACCTTACCCCAAGCAAAAGGCTAGGCCTCAAGCAGGGTCATCACAAGTCCAAGCCCAAGCCGATGCCCAAACCCAAAACCAGGTTGTTGATCCCATACCCCCAGCTACCGCCGCCGACCCTGACATCTTCGACCGATTCACCGCAACGATTCTGGAACACGAGGGCATCCTCTCCCCAAGCTCCCGTTCTACCCGCCTCCGCCACCCTCTTGCCTCCGGTGAGATCAGAGAGAAGGAGGAGGAGATACTGGATAGCATCACGGTCAATTCTAACTCTAACCGTCCTCTGACTGATCAGGTTGTTGATGAGGATAGGACTGTGGAAGAGGAGAAGGAGAAGGACGAGGAGGAAGAGATTTGTGATGATCATGGTGATGGCGATGACGGTGACTGTGGCGATGGTGGGTCGGGGCCTGGGGATCTTGGGTTGAAGAGGTTACTCTCTGCATCGCATGAGCAGGGGAACGAGAAGCAAGGTGGACCATCTTCGCCTATTCTGGGAGAGCAGGGGAGAGGTAGTAGCCGCGGACGTAGCAGTGCACGTGGAGGTGGACACGGAGGTGAGGAGGAGGTAGAGGGCAACGAGGAGCGAGTCGAACTTCCTGGCTCTCTCAAAATGTCTCGACTCCAGCGGACATTCCAGACCGGGGTCGACGCCTCTACTCCTCCACAGGATGCACGCGGCGGTGATCGGGTCGTTGGCGCTGCCGAGAGGAACAAGGAAAACCAGCGGCAACAGACGACCGGGGCCGGTACTGGGGCCGGGACCGGGGAGGATTTTCTACCCAGACCCAGCCGCAAAGGAAAGGGCAAGGGGAAGGAGGTCGTCAAACCTGCGCCCGCACCCGCACCTGCACCTGCACCCAAGCCCAGGCCAACGTCCACGCGAGACCCGCGGGTTTTCTTCCAAGCCTCTTCCTCTTCCTCTGCCTCTGCCATCCCCAGCGCCGCGCCTCACCCCAAGAACAAAGGCAAAGGCAAGGCCAAAGCCAAAGGGGCCAGCTTGCTCGAGCCTCCGTCTCCCACCGTCCTCGCCGCCTTGATAGCATCAACCGCCCCAAGGCCTATCCCTGACCGCCCCGAACCCACCCCAGCCCAGCCCACAGACACGAGCAATGGCATAGCCGATGGGGTTGTCGAAACGACAACTCCGGTCCATCTGCCCGGATATGCTCAAACGTCGAGGGCTGGACAGGGAATGGATAGGGATGGGACGGAAGTCGATGGTGGGCGGGAAGGGGTCGCGGACGCGGACGAGGATAGCGTTGAGTATGGCAGTAGAGTGCTTCGGAGGGCGAGTGCGAGTGCGAGGGAGGCTAGGAAGGCCAACCAGACGGCTGGGGAGAGTAGTAAGACTGGCAGCAATGCCAATGCGATTCCGACCAGGAAGAGGGCCCGCATTGACATTGAGGATCTCCTCTCGAATCCGGTTGAGTCCCGACCTCAATCTGAAGCTCAACCTCGACCTCTGCCTCAGCCTCAGGAAGAGGAAGACCCTTCTCCGGCGAGGAAGAGGCAGGAGACAGGTAAGAGAGGAGGTAAAGGAGGAGAAGGCTCGAATGTGACCAAGAAGAGGAAGCGCTCTTGAGAAGGGCTCGAAAAGCGAGAGAGACAAAGAGGTGTTCGAGGAGTGATGAGATGAGAGAAAGAGAAGAAGGTTTGAATTTGTTTGCCAATTGATTATTTGCTTGTTTTGGTATCCTGATATTGCCATTCGATAAAGGGGCTCTCTGGATAGGGAGCATGTAGATCAAAGTGTTCTTTGGTCATTTTAGAGGCTTGTCGAATATTTTTGCTCTAGATCTTTTTTTGTTTGTTAGCCTTGCTCATCCAAGATCTTCCCACCGGGTGTTTGATACCTTTAATTGCTGGCATCTTTGATAGAACATGGTTAGCGTGACGGCAGTACTGAAAGGGTGGTAATATATTCCAAACATTGAAATATTATTTAGCAGATCATTGCTGTTGGCTCATCCAACAATTCTTGCCATGGACGAACTACATATGCACCCAGTGACAAACGCCCAACTTTTAACAACCACCAACCCCTTATCATGCATCCATTACCTACCATTGCACCTGTCACCTCAAGAAATACACTTCACTTCACCAAACCCCTCCGTCCACCGCAAACTCCCCATAACAACCACCATCAACGCCAACCCCCCGCCCACACTCGCACCCCCATAAACATAGGCATGTCTCCGCCTCAACGCCGCCAACTCGGAAACCCACGTGGACACCGTCGTCAAGCACCCGCAAAACCCATCCGCCACACCTTGCAGCACCTGACACCCCACCACTCCTCCCAAGCTCGGCACGTGGTTCAAGTCCCACGCCATGCCCAAGACCGCCGTGCCTAGCATGTTCACCACAAAAGTCCCCAACGGAAAACTGGGCAGCCGTCCGTTGAGATGCGCCGAGGCGTAGAACCGCGTGAGACAGCCCAATGGAGCAAAGACGAGGGCAAAGGTTGCCGTGCCGCGCCAGCGCTCTTTTTCTGGTTGAGCAGAGTGGCGGTCGGGTGGCCAGATACTCAGCAACACGGCGCCTAGCCAGCAACCGAACCCCAAAAGGACGATGAGACGGTCGAGGATACGACCAACGAATGTGTAGGGCAGTCCCAAATCGAAACGGGTGAAGAGGGTGGCGATGGCGATGGCGAGATGGGCACCCACAAAAAGGCCAGAGAGGGAGAGGGAGATGGTGGTTATAATGACGGCGAGTAGGGCCATGAAGGAGTAACCGCCGTTTCGGGAGACGGGGGCAGCACTACCATGGGCAGCGAGGTCGTTGGAAAGCGCCAAAAAGATGTCCCGGATAAAGGAGGAGAAGGAAGTAAAAGAGCCGCAGAAGCCGGTTGCGAGACCGACGTAGAGCGGGATGGTCTTTTTCAGGGCCATGTGAGCTTTCTTGGCTGCTGCTGGGTCGATGTTGGCTTCTTCATCATCATCGTCATCTTTCTTGGGGTTGGGTTGTTGGCCCCAGTCTGGCCGGAAGAGCATGCGATCCTCAGCCAGGAAGCCCATAACCACACAGCCGGCAAAGTTGGGCCATATCGAGGGGAAGATAATGGGTGATTGTGGGTAGGCAGAGGTGAGGGCTTGTAAGCCCAGTCTGGCGAGGGTGCCGAGGAGGGAGAAGAAGATGAGGTACGAGATGGTGTAGAGTTCGGTGGCGAGGCGCGAGACTTTTTGTCTTTTGGCAACGACACCGGCTTGCTTTTCTCTTTCGTAGTCTTCTGCTGATGACTCGGGCTCTTGTGGTGGTAGTGGTTTCCGTCTTTGTTCCCGAAGGTAGTCCCTATCGCGAGTCCTGACCCGCTCTAGAGTGTCAAGGCGAGTGATGGGATCCTCGTCTGGATTCTGGACTGGCGATATATTGGATGCCTCAAGGTGTGCATAGTCGTCTGGCACATCGTAGTTGAGGGGCGCGGCTGAGGCACGGCGCGAAGAGGCGCGAGAGTAATGGCTTTGTGACTGGTGAAGCGGATGTAACCCTGTCCCGGTTACATGTCCCTGGCTGTATCCATCATCTTGTCCTTGATTGTGATTGTGGTCGTCGATGAGGTTGCGCTGATGGTTGCGGTCGGGTGAATCAGGGGAATCTCCTTGCCCTCCAGTGTATCCCTCGGTATCGCTCGGGGCGGTCATCATCACTAATCCTGACAATATCGATATGGCCGTCCGTGGGGGAAGAAACAGAGATACTACAACAGATCAAGCATCACCATAGGCCGCATATGTTTCCATTACCAAAAGGATGGTGGTTCGGGCTCGCTCTGATTCGCAGTGCATGTTTGTTGTTTCAAGGTTTCTGTAATTATCTCTGTACTGTGCAGCGTAAAGCCGATGACGGCTCTGCTAAATCTGATAGTGACAGTGCCATTGTAACAGTAACGGCCTGGTAGCGGTTACTGTACGGGTCTTTGACCTCCCTCTTGTTATCTTATCGTCATGAATGCTGGGGGGATGGAGACTGGGTGGAGAAAGAACGGTTCCCTGTCAAAGCAAAGGCCCCGCACCCCACTTGATCGTCCTGAATGCGGAGACGTCTCCAATCATTGACACAAGTGACCTTCCCTGTAAGGTACCTTGCTGTCCTTCCCCCCTCCGGTCCCTCATTGAGTGACTGCCAATGCTCACCGTCCAAGTACCAAACCTCACTGATGCCTGGTGTTGTTCGTTCCTGTCTTGGCTCAAGACATAGACATGGACACTGGACCACTTGGAGTGCCGGGACAGGCGTCTTACGTATCCATACGCAGTAGAAGAAAGGTCAAGTGAGTTAGAGTAGCTGTGTAGTTGCTCAGATTCGCGGATAACAGAAGTACGCTAGAGACGGAATCAGTGCAACCTGCCCGAGGGGAGCTTCGGAACACGGCGATGGGAGCTTGCCATCTCACTCGCCGGAGTCGCCCTCTCAGCTCGGCCCCGTCCCACTCGCGGTCAGTCAGTTGTCTGTCTGATACACTAGATGATATGTAACCTCCGTTAGATTCCCGAGACGTCTTCGTGTTCTTCCTATCCTACTACTCTTCTGTATTCCTCGTTTCAACCTTTTGTTGTTCAAACACACCATCGGTAGCATCAGCATCTCGACGACACCACAACGACCACCACTATCATAGCAAACCAGAACTATACCAACACGTACCTCGTCGATTATACCGAACAACACCATCACCGCCACTACCAACACAAGACTGCTCAACATGTCTTCTCTACCACCCAACGTCCACGTTTCCACGCATCCCTGCCTCCTCGCCAAGCTATCGCAGCTGCGCTCCAAGACCACCAGCGCGCGAGATGTCAAGACCTTGATCCACGAGATTTCTTTGCTCTTGGGCTCAGAAGCTCTCGCAAAGGCCATGACCACGGCCCCCGGTCCCCAGGCGGAAACGCCCCTCGGGTTTACTTATGAGACTACTACGGCAACGCCAGGGAATATCTCGTTGATCCCGATTTTGAGGAGTGGATTGGGAATGGTGGAGGGTACGTCTTGCTATCTTTCTTTCTTTCTGTCTTTTCTTGGTTTACTACTTGATTTCTTCCATTCGTTCTGTTTTGTGTTACTGTTCTCTCCCCTTTTCTCTTTCCTGCTACCGACTCCTGCTCTTCTCCTCCTCTACCTATCTACTTATAAACCTCCCCCTCTGGTTTTGCTCTACATAAAGAGAACCTGGCTAACGACACCGCAAAAAATAAAACAGCAATCCAAACCATCCTCCCCCAGCCCGTCCCAGTACACCACCTCGGCCTCTTCCGCGACCCCATCACCTTGGCCCCCGTCGAGTACTACAACAATCTGCCTAATCATCTCGTCTCCCCCACCCAGGAAACTGCCTCCGACCTAGCCATCATCCTCGACCCCATCATCGCCACCGGCGGCACCTGCGCGGCCGCCATCCAGACGTTGATCGAATGGGGCGCGAAGCGCGTCATTGTTCTTTCCGTGCTCGGTGCCGCCGAAGGTGTGAAGAAGGTAGCCGAGGAGTGGCCTGAGGGAACCGAGATCTGGCTGGCCGGTGTGGATCAGGAACTTACAAAGGGGGGTATGTTGAAGCCGGGATTGGGAGATGTGGGGGATCGGTTGTTTTTGACAATTGGCAAGTAAATGATGAAGGGAGGGGAAAGGAAATGGGAGTTAGATTTAGTATTTGGATATACAATTGAACACCGTTATATGCTTGTGCTGGTTTATCGTTATGTCTTGTTGCTTATACAGTATACAATTCTCTTCAAGTTACTTGACTCGCACTTGAGGTGGTGACTTGGTCTTTGTAGATAAACTCGATGTAAAGGACATGTCATTCGAGGGCACAATGACCGATAGGTTCTTCCAGCGTCTTTCACCTAGTCAAAAGCAACAAGGTAGTTCAATATTGTTCTGTTGGATAGTTTTGGGAAGTCATCAGAACGACTTGAAACAAGCTTACCCATAACCAAGACAAAATAAATGATACACATCACTTGAATCGACAAGTCTCACTCGCAATTCTTCACACACACAGAGAGAGAGTTCTGCGGGGTTCCAGCACGGGTAATAATCACCCTCTATGCCATTTTACAATTGGAAAGGGGAAAAAAAGATATGCATTAAGAGCTACCGCCCAAAACAAAAGCCCGCCATTCCCCAAACGCCCAGGTATAGTCGGTGCAGATATCAGCACCTGTTTCCAAGCCAGACCACTAAGCACCGATGAAATAGAACAAGGAAACAAGAAGGGAAGAAGAAGTCACTGGCTCTCCAAATGGTCCCTAAAGAACACCGCTCAACCCTCACGGCCCGGCTCCGCCAGCGCTGGGCACACAACTAGTGCTTCGGCTGCTGCTGCTGCTGCTCCTTCCTCTTCTGCGCGCGTATCTTCCAGCTCTCCTTAATCGCCGTCGCCGCGCTCAGTAGTTCCTGATCCGACACGCCATCCCTTATACTCGCCATGACGCTCGAGACGGTACTCGTATGGTTCGCCTCATTCTTATCATCCCGAAACCTGAACAGCCGCCACCGGTTTTCGGCATCCAGACAGCACTCCACCACGCGATCCTGCAACGGGTCGCCCAGCGCCTTGAGCGTCTCCCACTCGTCCTCCGCGATATAAAGCGGGTCCGGAAAGAGTTCGTATTTGCTTCCGCCCGGTCCGTCGTTGCCGCAGAAAACGTATAGTTCCGCTTGTGGGACCGAGTCGTAATCTGTATATTGTTCGGGAAACCCTTCGTCAAGTTCGGCTTCGGTGGCTTGGACAAGGGGGAAATTGAGGCGCATGCGGAAATCCAACGTGTTCTCGTGCGGCGCTTTCCATTTGAGAATGTGTGGGTCGGTGCCGAAGTGGTAAGGGGTGGTGCGGCACGTGAAGATGAGGCCGTCGCTGTCATGTTTCAAGGCAGGTATCACTTCGCGGAACATGGTCTCGATGCCGTACGACAGCTCCATGCGCTTCATCTCCACCTTGAAGGCCATAAAGGGAATTTCTTGGGGGAACTGTTGAAGCAGCTTTTTGTAGGGTTCGTATATGTAGGCGCTGAAGTAGCCGAGGCGCTTGTCGAGAGGTTTGTTCAAAAGTTCGGCTTTGTCGTCGAGCGCGAGTAAGTCGAAGACGAGGAAGCGCGGTTCTTTTCGACCGTTTGTGCCGGGCACTGTGTCCATCACCAGCTCGCCATCGATGATGGTGCCGCGGTGAAAGGCTTGAATGTCGTTTGGCATGGGGAAGTGCATGCTGTTGCGAGGGAGGAACCAGTAGTCGTTTTTGCGGTCGATCAGGTATTGGACTTCCTGCCCTTCTTCGTCGACGGTCAGGTAGAGGAGGTAGCGAATGCCGTCGGATTTTTCGCAGACATAGTAGCTTTACGGATGGTTAGCCAGAAGTCATGACATGCGCAACCGTAACAACCGAGCCTTGGCTTACTCCTCTCTTCGTAGTTCCTCCAGGTGCTTGCGAGCAAAACTGACGGGTTGTGCTCCGGGAAAGCCAATGGAACTCCTTCCTAGAATCCGAGCAACTTCTTCTCGCAGTGAAATGGCCAGATCACGGTGCGCTTTGATGCCAGGCTTGGCAATGTCGGCAATGGGCCCTGGTTGTTCCATTGTGAGGGCGGCAAGCGAGAGAGCAGATCGTGGACGAACGACGGGACACGACGTAAACGGTGGTGGTGATTTGCGACAGCTGTCTGGAGTAGGGCCGGCTATATCCAATAGCCGTGATATGTCGTAGGTTCGATTCAATACTGGTTCGTTCAGGCTGTACCGCGGGGAGAGAGATCGAAAAAAAATGCTGGGTGGTGAACAATGGACTGTAAAAAGTTGTTGAGTTCAAAGTTGGTGTTGGAGGCCACGAATTGCCAAGTCTCGTCGACAAGAACGGGTCGTCATGAACTCTTGGGCGTGACGCTTATCTTATCGCATCCCCTGGACCGTCCGGACGACACCCGACGCTATAAGTGCCATGCCAACAGGGTGCAGCCCGTTTTCTGGATGCCACTCGAGGTTCGTGGGTGTACCCGCACTATGCAAAGGACCGGGCCTCGTTGGGTTGGTTGATCAGGCTGTAAATAACGGTTTCTCACTGGGAGTGTACCTACAGGTACTTACTGATTAAATACTGCGAACCAAGGCCTACACTACCATATGCGCTACATACCCCCCTGGAACGCGACCAAGTGAAGGCGATGGAAACCACCTCCGTCATTCCATCACATGTGGTACTGTATAGCCCCAGACTCGGGGCATCCGTTTTTAGGTTCTCTAAAAATCAGGCATTATCGGACATACATATGCCCCATTCTGTATATATATTATGCCCGCAAAAATAATTTGACAAAAAAAAAAGGAGTTTTGCTGCTACCCCGGAGCACTGTAACTTCGATTCTTCTTATGCCATGCCTTTTCCCATCTATCTTTTGGAAAGGCGCTGGATGGTGGATATTCAAAGTCAACTAACGTCTTGCATACAATTTCTGGCGGCCATGGATGTTGCAGTATGCTCACAGATCATGCCTGATTTCCACGGAACTTAAAAACGGATGCCCCGAGTCTATACGGTATTATTATCAGATTCCAAGTCTGTCTGAAATCACCTTCGAGGTCCACCTTATGCAGTTAGTGGACAAAGGCTCAGCAACCACCAGTCCAATGCCGATCATGCTTTTGTCCAAAAGTAAACTATCTGGCCTATGCAAGGTACGTTCCACTACACTACACCTCCAGATCTCCCCCGAGATTCCTTGAAAGAAGTGTGGGGCCTGCCCGTTCAAGGTTCGTTGTTGCATGTTACGTAGTTGCCTGCTGTCTGGCTCATTGTAACCCGTCCAACCTCTCGTCCAACATGTCCGACTGGGTTGCACAAAATAAAGGGACAAATATCAGAAAATAGGTAGTCCTGTTCCATCAGTCGTAATGCATGGACTCTCATTATATTTTATTCTCGTCTAAATTGATATTCGTCATCAAGACACAAAATAACCCTTTTGACATCTCCTCAACGCCCGGAAAGTTGTAGGTACACTTTCCACATGATAAATCATCCCTCATGACGTTTAATATGAACCCACTCACTCGGAGAACGGACAACTCTGTTCGACTAAGACTCGTTGATCTTGTTGACCTCGGCCTTCGCTTCCTCCCAAGTCTCCTGGTTCTTCTTTGCCCACTCAATCTGGCTTTTGGCATACGCGAGCTAAGACCCAAGTTAGCAATTGGTCGTGATCGGTATACTGTAAATTGTCGTGATCTTACCATGTACCGCTTGAGGTCATCCTCCTTCTCACGTTGAAACCTCTTGAGATCCTTAAGAACGCTCGCGCTCGCGTCCTTGACATCCTTGGCCGATGCAATCTGTGCTTGCTCCAGTTGCACGATGGATTCCCTAGTCTTTCCAATAGTGTCACGCCGGGTCCGCTCAGGATCAACGTCCACCACTCCTTGAACTGCGTGCCGAATTGGCCCAAAGATCTTGTTCGTGATCGAGGTGCTCGCCGCCTTCTTATGACTCGGGCTACCTCCTGTCCGCTCTGGCGCCCCGATCTTAGCAGATGGTGCCTGAGAGAAATCGCTGTGCGTAGGAGGAAAGTCCGAATCGATAGATGCAGTGTCCTCGCCACTCCCGTCCCTACGGTGCTGCGCCGGCGGTTCCCTTCTAGGGGGCTGGATCTGCTGGCTACTGCTGAGATATTGATCGATCCTCCTGGCCTCCGCCTCACTTCTCTCTAGCGACTCTAACAGGGCTCTCTTTTTGTTGAGCTCATCCGTCGTCATCTCTTGCTGGACCCTCTTCAGAATCCGATAGCGCAGCACATTTCGTACAACCCCGGCGAACTGCGCACTTTCCCGCATGGGTTCGGCAAAACTAGCGCTCAACGAAGTGGAAAGCTCTTCCGTGGCAATGTATGACGAGTCTGCCGCCTGTCCAACCCTCTCAATAGCCGCTGAAACGGTAGGCGCCGTCTCTGACAAAGCAAAGGCGTTGTATCGAGCGCCGAGTTCTGAAAGGTCTGAAGCCAACGAAGACAAATGGTTCAGCGTGCGGCGGTTTACTTTCTCCATCGGTCCAGTAAGTAGCGATTCGAGGTCCTTGATGGAGGTCTCAAAGGCAATGAAATAGGCGTCCAGGTCTTGCTCGCTGAGGGAGTTGGCGTCGGGTGGAAACCGAGCAAGGGACCCCGCCGCAGCACTGTCGAGAGCTTGTGTCGGCAATGTCTTCAACTTGGCCGAGCTACTTGGCACAGGAAGGAAGCTGTGTCCAGGAGTCGGATTCGCAGGATCCAGGGGAGGCGCCTTCATAATCTGCTTCGGAATGGAGGACACGGGATGCGAATGGAGGACCTCCGTCTTTGGCTGCGTTAGCTGGCTGATTAGCTCCGTATCAAAAGGCCCTGTGACTTACCCAGCTTGAGTTTGGATCCAGGAATCGCCACCATACACCATCGGTACGGACTTGCTCCATGCGCCTGCACCGGTTTAGGAAAACAGCAAGCATGCGCTTTCGTAGGTCGATAATCTGCTGGTCTTGTTTGGCATTTGTGGGATTGGCAGCATAATCGGCCATCGTATGCTTCTCTGGTATGGGGGGAATGACCAGCGTGGGGTGAAGTCTCGTAAGGGCGTCTCTCAGTGACGCAAACTCGGAATATCGCCGGCGAACGGTCAAGTCCTAGACAAAAGGACTGGTTAGCGAACACAATGCCAGCTAGTCGAGGGAAGCCGAACCTTACTCCAGTCTTAATGGTATACACAATAAATCTTCCGCCGCTTTCTTGACTTTTGCCCGCCTCGGTAATCAAAATGGGCAGCTCGGGGTTTTCGTATAGCATTTGCTCGATTCTGCTGTCGTAGCCACCTGGCTTGCGCCGTGGTACAAGCTCGCCGTGGGCTTGGTCATCGGTCTCGTCATCGGTCGCAGCATCGCTTGCTTCCCTAGGGTAAGTGGGACCCGGTACTTCGTCGTCACCAGCATCCGAGGGCGTCAGAGGAGCATCGTAGCGAACATCTTGGGGAGTTGGGAAGCGAGCGTCTATGGAATCTATCAAGTACCAATCGGTATCAGCGTCACCATTGTCATGGGCAAAGTCCCCCAGGCATATATCACCCGACTGGTCGGTCATGGTAGATTTAGAATGGGCTGTCAAGATGGTCAAACTCACAATCGCGAGCGGTCGGAGAAGCAGGATTGGTTGAGGAAGCAAAAGAGTCACGGCGCTCAAAGCTCCCGTAAGGGTTGTTGTCTTCGTCGTTCCACATGACGCAACGTTTCTTTCTGGGCTTGAGCGGACGGTGGCAGAAGAGCCAGAGAGTTGACAGGAAGGCGCAGAGTCTAGGACCTGAGACGGATGTGGCAAGTGATTGCACCGGAGCAAGAGACGAAGGTAGACAAGAGACGTGGGTTCGCGGGACCAGGACCAGCACAATGGCGGGGTTCCGAGACTAGAGGCCGAGGGCGGATTTGGCAGACGGAGAGATATCGAGGGCCACAGACGGGAGTCGCGAAAAGAGGTGGAGGTTGAGGGTGAACGTAAAGCTAATGGGGATGGCGTATATCGTAAGTATGAGTGCGCGTATGTATGATGATCACAAGAGCTTCTGCTTGGTTTGCTTAGTTGGAACACACAAACAGAGGTTGACGATGGAGAGAGGATGGCCACAACCCAATGATACCGAGTGCAAGTGGAAAATGGGACTTGTTCTTCTCAACAAGTTCCAGTTGCTGCTTCCATGGTCTAGGTTCACTTCATGCTGTTCGTTGCACTTGTATCATCCATGGGCGGCTATGGCGCAGCTGGGTCGGGCGGGCACGGCGGGCAGCGGGCAGCTCATGGCTATCACCCCAGAAATGACGACTACAGCGATGCACGGACCATTCTTGGCATATAGGCATCTACTACCTCTAGGTGTAATACATCGATGAAGTGCAAGCCTCAACAGTCCGTCCTCCTTCGTTCTACACTACACAGTACCATAGGTAGTCCAGCTGCCGAGATGCAACCTCCATATTGTCTAGTACGAGTACCAGGCAACTTCCATTTGCTCGTTTGAAGGTAGGCAATGTATGATTTCTTTCAACATCCTTGACTCGAGAAGCAGCAGCTTGGTCATCCATCTGATCTTGGAGACCTCAAACGCCGTGCTGCAGTTCTGTCAGGCGTTTCATCCAGATTCCCCCTTGATCTTGCCTAGACTGAATTATTGGCCACTATACTCCTGTCAGAGGCCTACCGACAACTTCGTTCCGTTCGTTGTGTACACTGGAGCTACTTCGAGACTACGAGCGGTACCTCCAGAGTCGACACCAATTCCTTTAGGGAAGCTGTTCTTCGACCGTACCTTCCTTCCTTCCTTCACATTGCCGGCAACGTAATACTTCCCTTCCGTCTCACGTCACTTGCAGGTTCTTTCTCTTCTTCTCTTCCGTCAAATCAAACAGTTTGTTGTCAATGTGTTTCTATGGCGTCAATCTACTGCACTGCACCACCACTCGTTACTACAATATTTGCAAGGTTCCAGTCTCGTTGCCCTGTCACCAAGAGGTACATCCTCGAGAGAGCTGCTGCTCCAGTGTCGGCTCTACGCGCATTCTGCACTCGCTCCGGCTCCAAGACGTCCTCGGGAAACGGCTCGTCACATATTACTCCCAGATTCCGTCACCAACCATCTCCTTGCAGGCCCCGCGTCGACAAACGACTGGCGACATTCACGCGTACAAGGCTGCGCTGTGCGGTCGACTCTGTCCAGTCAACCACAGTGAAAAGCGTCTTAGTGGTCGTCTCAGTGGTCTGTAGGCCTGCCTGCCCGCCTGGCTCCAGTCACGGTAAAGCCCGTCTACCCCACTCTCGCTGCCCGTGTGCCCGTGTAACTCTACCACTGAGGTAGCCCTTCAGTCAAAGCCCTTCATCCGGTTCTCAGGCTTATCAGATATAAAGCACCATGTCCGACTCCAACCTTGAGTCTAAGAAACGAAAGCATCATTCAACTTTTTTTGCTCCCCACGCCCAAGAACCACCAAAACGCAGCAAGCAAGGACCTAACGGGGCAACAACAACCTCGTTCACATCCATGGAAGTCGACAAGGCCAAGCACCACCCCAATGCTGTCCCCAATGCTGTCCCCGTCGGAGCCGCCATCTTCGATGAACCCGTCTCATACCTGGACCTCAAGGCCTGGATCGCCGAACAAGAAGCCTTACCCCAGCCAGAGCCACTCACTGATATCCAGAAGAGAGCCATTCTGGACCTGAAGAATTCCATTGTCAAGACGAAGCATAATTTTGGCCTTAACGAAGCTGACTGGATCTCTTTACTTATGAGTAAGTCTGTACATCCGTGTCTACGCAGGCTCCTACTCATAAATACGCTACACAGGATACCAGCAGGCCCATCAAGCGGAACAATGTGTGATCGAATATAATGACAGCCACCAAAATCCGGTTGGCAAGGTTGGGTTCATGTGCTTTGTCTCCCTTCAAGTCACCAAGGACTGGGAGCCGATCCTCTTCCCCAGCGAAGAGAATGGTCTATTGCAGGACGAGATTACCGGAGCACCTTATGTCCCGCAATTTACCAAGAAAAAGGACGCAAAACGGTACGCAGCCAAGTGTGCTATCGAGTGGCTTATGTATCAAAGGTACATGCCCTCAGATTGCAAAAATGTGACTTTCGGCAGTTTCAAGGCAACGCCCAAACCTGCCAATCCCCAAATCGGGCAGGCGAAGAAAACACCTCAAGTTGCGGTTGTGCACCCTTCGATCATTACTCCCCAGCGGACCCCTACGGCACCGGTCGAAAGCAACGGATTCGCTAATGATAATGGCACCGTGTCTGCGCCCATCTCCATCCCCGCCACGCCATCGCCTCCCGCGACCGGGGAATTGGAATCAAACAACGGTAGCAACGGTGCCTCTCTGGATCCAAATGCCGTGAGTAACACCGAGAAGTCATTGGCACCCTATCTTGCCAAACCTCCTCCGGCTGCCACGCCTATTCGTAGGAAAGCCACCGATAATCTTCTTGATATTGACGTCCATGACGATAGTATCTCGGTCCATCAACGAATAGCTGAGATGTGCAGGAGATTGGGGATGCCAATGCCACAAATCAAAGTCGAACTGATTCCTGATACTCAGAACATGTATCGCGGCTGGGCCAGCTTTCCGATCGAGGCGGGGCTGGTACCGGAGCATGTCGGGCGAGTGAAAAGCGGTTTATTGATGAAGCGCACCAAGGAGATGGTGGGTGAGCAAGTTCTGGAATTTCTGTTCCAGCTTGAGCAGAAACGGCTTGCGGAGGCGGACCTTGTTTGGGCGGATGTATGAGGCTGCGCAGGGAGTGAATCTATGGTATCAGGCAGTGATGGGGTCGGTGATGTTTACCTCCGCTGGTATTTGGTTGCCTATCTCGAGTGATGGGAGGAACGTGGCGCAAGCGTCTGTCCACGCCACGATCTCGTATCGATGATGGTCTCTGATCTTTGAATCTCGGAGCAGTTTTGGAGTTGTTAAGTCTACCCATAGGAGGGATGATGTTGATATCGTTCACGGTACAGCGACCATCTCCCAAGTTTACTGTGGAAATCTCGCCTCGAACCTAAGGGAAGGTAAAACCGAGCAGGGAAGTAACTGTAACACCATGATCAGCGAAATATATTTTCAGTCATGACCGTCAAAACTCAAAATCAGCACCGAATAGGACGGACACGGGCAGCCATGCCTTCTCCACGTTGATTAACAAAACCAAGGCAATTCTGAAGCATCACCGAGATCAAACGCCTTGCCAATAAGATCTCAACCACCAGCATTGAGTATAAGTAAAGCTCACACATCGTATCCCGCATCACCTCTCTTCCTCCACTCCCTCCTCTCCTTTCGCCCCATCACCCTCCTTCCCACCATCCTTCTCCTGCTGCCTCTCTTTACTCCTCGAGATAACCTCCAACCCAAAAATCCCATCTCCCAACGGCCCCATTGCGAGTCCCGATTTCTTTCCCCCCCCTCCTCCTCCTCCCGCAGCCTGGCCCTCACCATCCTCATCATCATCGCCAAAAAGAAACGCATTACGTTCCCTTGAGGCGTTACTCATGCGACTACTCTTTCCGAGACTTTTCTTCCTTGGCTTAGTTTTAGCTCCTCCTCCCGTCCCAGTGATGGGGTGGCTAGAGGTGTGAGAACTAAATGGTCGACCACGACCACCTAATTCTGGAAAAGCGGTGGTGGGCGAGCGGGGTGGGGGGAAGGTATTCTTGGTATAGTGTTGCTGTGTTGACGAAGAGTTAGGGGCGGAGAAAGAAGGAGAGTCGGGTTCGAGCATCCAGGCGAAGGAGGATTGGGCTATGGTTGAGCGGGTGGGAAGGGGTTCAGGGCGGTGAGGCGGTTGTTCCTGTTGTTCTTGTTGTTCTTGTTGCTGTTGTTGTTCTCGGGTTTCTGATTGCAAGGGTGAGGAAGAGGAAACGGGGTCTGGGTGGGTTGGTGGTGATGATAGTGTTGGCTCGATGGGGTTGGCTGAGGGCGGTGATGCTGGTGGCTTGTGGATGCCGGCGGGAGATGAAGAGGGGTCGTTGCCATTGCTGGTTCTGCGCTTGCTTATGGTGTTTTCCGGCGTCGTCATTTCCGTTGGGGTTTTGGGCGGTTCATCCGCTTCCACCGTTGATTCTGGTGCAGGTGCAGGTGCAGGGGGGAGGGTATTGATAGTCGATGCTTGTGATATGCTAACTTCGGCTTCCGCTTCCTCTTCCACGATCGACGAAGTCATCACCACCGGCGTTATATCCAAGGCGACCGTCGGTGACCTTGAATCGGTATTACCCCTGTGGCGGGAAGGCGACAGGCTGAGGGCGTTGAAGGCCGGAGCAGAGGGAGTCGGGGACGACGGTGCTTGTGGTTCACGCTCAGGAGCGGACTCCTCCAAATCATCAAGTATCAATGATGAGTCCTCCAGGCACGCCTTGACAAACTGGACCTTTGCCGCGGCAATCTCCACGGCTTCTACGTACTTTTCCTTGTCGGTTGTTTCCCCTAATCCCGAAGCGGCGAGCTGTTTGAGGCTGGTGACTGATTCGTCCAACATGGTCGCTAGCTGTCTGTTCCTCTTCTGCATACTTGTGACCGTATGTTGCGGTGGTTGGTAGAGATATCCGTCGCGCAAAGGGCTGCGGGGGGCTGTACTCCTACTAGATGAGCGAGCTTCCTGAAGACCCTTTTTGATCTCGCCCATGGCGTCTCTTACGGCTCGGTTGATGCCCAGTTTCTCTCCGCGTTCAATCATGTTCTTAGCAGCGCCGGAGAGCAAGGCTTCAACGCCTCCGGGTTGTTGTAGGGAGGACAACGGTGACCTGGCTCCTAGAGTCCGCTGACGCAAGCTGCCAAAGCCATGTTTGGAGGGCGAGGCTGGCGGTTGGGGACCTGGGCTAGTGACTGAAGGAGCGGCTGATGAGAGCAGCGGGTGCTTTCCGGTGTGTTTGAAGATGACGGTGGCGCCACCAGTGGGGTTAGGATGGTCTCGTAGGTAGAGGGCGTCATCGACAAAGGTGTGAGGGCCTTGAGAGTCTGGAGGGACTGGGTAGCGGAGGAGGAGTTGCAGAGCCATGGCGTAGTCGCATTCGAGTACTGTTTTCGCGTCTTGGTGTCAGTTGCTCGGTTTCGCTCGGAAAGTGCCAAAGAAGAGAGTGTTCTCACATGTCCATCGGATTCTCAGTAGCATGGCTACACATACTAGATCTATCAGATCCAAGTTTGGGTCGAGAGCAAAAATCGTATCCCATAATACAAGCAACTGTTCGAAAGGGAACTCTCTACCAAACAAAAGGCGGATCCAGCGGATGAGGAATATCTGAGGAAGGATTTCAATCTCCTTGAGATGGCTTGCAAGTTCAGGATCGACCTGCATGAGCAACTCGTCGTGAATGTGCCTACTTTTCTCGACAATGGTGTTTTGCTCGCCATTTGCATCACTACCGACTTCGTAAAAGGCGCTTGCGCGTGCCATGAGCATGGAGAAAATAGTGTAAGCGTCATGTTCAACGTATGCCGAGTCCAACATGTCAAGCATAAACGGGCCAACCTCTTGTTCGGCTGCCACAGTCTTTCGGTCCAGAGCGTCCTGGATGAGGACATGAACGATGGGGGCAAGCAGTTCGTGCATCCCCTGCCGGTAGCCTCCCACACCAGGATTGAGTTTGCAGTAGAGGAACAGAATATCCAGGATCATGGCCTGGACAGAGTCTTGGTGATAAAGGGGGTCATCCGGCAGCCGTTGGACATCCTGCAGGATTTCCGACCGGATGAGCTCATCTTTGCGCACCAGTTCCCAGGGCGAGTCGGCGTCGTCTGCCAGAGGATCAACAGGTAGCTTGGCCAGCAGTTCGGGGTGCTTGATAAAGCGAAGATGCTTCTCATGGATGGATGCATAGGAACTGCGACATCCGCTCAAGATGTCGACCCACTTTTCAGTTGGTGAGTCTCGGAATACAAGAAGCATCTTCCAGCAAACGGAGCGACAACCTGCCAGGCATGGACTGTCTTGGGGATGGTGCTTAATGGCCTGCTGGAGATCTGCAAAGCTCGAGGGTTTTGAGCTATATCGCATCGTCTCTTCCCATCTTGACCTGTGGGCAGGGTCAGCATGTGGCTGTTATGGTATTTTGAGGAGTGGCCATAACGTACTTTGCTTCGGATAATGGTTTCATGACTTGGATGAATGATGTGACGTCGAAGATGATACAGTCCCAGTAATCCCCTACTTTATCAGGTAGTCACTTTCACTTCAGGGCGATTGACGCTATCAAGGAGTTGTTGGTTGTAAACAAATAGAAAGCTGATCAAGGTTGGAAACAGTAGGTAGTGTATATGTATCTCTACTGTGTATGGGCACAGACGACGCCATCAACGATGTTGAAATGTGTTGTAGAAAGATGCCGAGATGACGGGAATCCTGAATGTTCCCGTTGTCAGTAAACCTGACTTTGAGGTTAGAAGAGCCTGGGTGATACCTACCTACCGACCTACTGATGCGTGATGGTTACAGTTCATGGCTGCCAAGACTTCTTCAGCGCTCTGAGAGTGCGAGTGCGCTGAACTCATGGTGGGGCACCTCGGCCAGTCAGGTCAGGTCAGGGGTCGGAGTGTGTGGTGGGGCCGGACTTGTCCGCTATTCCCCTTCAGCGTTGACGACCAAGGTCGCGTAGGTCTCGAACCTCGTCCGGCAGGCATCCCCGCCCATTCATTTCATCATCACTCCCAACATATCACGACGAAAGGCATTTGGGGTGCCTCTACAGTCTCGCCTTCAGATACAAACGCCAACGACGCCTCGTATAAGACGGTCAACTCCTGGAGCACACTCATCATGTCAGCCGATCTCTTTGCGGCCTTTGGGGCTTCATCTCACGATCAAGGCTCTCAGTCAAATCCGGTTAACAACAGCAGCGACCCCTTTTCTTTCTTGACATCAAACAACAGCACCTCCTTACCACCGCAAAACACCCCACAACCACAACAACAACAACAACAACAACCAGCTCCTGTCTCTATACCATGGCCATCAATAACGCCTAGCCAACCCCAAACATCAAGTCTATGGGGCGATCTCGGCACGTTGGGAGGATCCCAAGGAGGGTTCCAGAGTTTCCAATCCGCATCGCCAGCTCCAGCACATCCGAAACCCGCTGCGCCGGACGTGGAGGATGAGGACGGTTGGGGAGACTTTGAAGTTGCCGCCACCCATAACACAAGTTTACAAAGCCCATCTCCTCCGGCCAGCAACGTTGGACCGCCCCAAATTGGTCGCGTCAGAAGCCCAACGCTTGATCTGGTGTCGAATAAGCTCGTCAATCTCGACTTGTCTTCAACTGGCTCTCAACCATCCGCCAACAAACCTGTACAGAAACCCGTGATTAAGCCTATCCGAAACGCTGACCCAAGCGTTTTGTTTGATGCCGATGACTTTGAGCTCCAGGAGGTAGACGGTGAGGAAGACGACGACGACGAGTTCGGTGACTTTGAAGGCACTTCAAGTCCCGCGCTCATTGTCCCAGCCGCCGGTCCCGGCACGAAAGAACCCAAGAAACAGCCCCCTGGCCTTTTCCTATCGGGTGGCAATTCCCAGACGCTGCATCCAACAGCGCCAAAGTCTCCCTTTGCATCGTCCCACGCTCGAAAACTCAGCGATGTCAAGGAGCTCAAGATCAAGACACCAGTGACCTCGGGCTTTCCTAAAGAGGTCAAGGAGCGAGAAGCGTCCCCGCTCACAGCCTGGCCGTCCGGTACTGGTGATGGTTTTGGGCATGAGTGGGATAAGTTCGCAGACCTTTCTGTCAGTCACACAAAGACACTGACAAAGGCGGCTGGTAATACCAAGACACCAGCAAAGAAACCAGAGCTAGAATCTTCTTTTGACTCAGATTGGAAGGACTGGGAGGAAACAGAGACAGTCCAACCACAGGCTGTTGGGATTGCTTCCCAACCCACCAACTCTGACAAACGTCCTCCGCCTACGAACGTGCCTCCGCCATCTATCTTGCTCTCCATACTGCCCCAGCTCCTCGATCTTTCCAAAACAACTCTGCTCAAGATCAAGGGTTTGCCTGCGGCCAAGCAGCATGCTGTTGCTTCCGACCCTGCCACAATGATATTCCTGCGCGGTTATCTGGCCTTGGCTACTGTGACGGGCAGGATCATCGCTGGCCGAAAGCAAAGGTGGCAACGCGATAAGTTTCTTATGCAGGGCATGTCCATCTCAGCCGCAGGAGGCATGAGAGGAATGAAGCTTGCCACTGTTGACAAATCTCAGTCTGCTAGAGATGATCACAGTGCTGTGGCGGTTCTGGATGTCTGGGCCCAGCAAGAGGGAAGTCTGCGCTCTACAGTTACGGCAGCTAATGCCGCCTCGGATGCCAAACTCAGGGTCCCTCAGCTCAAGCTCGCTCTCCCGGTCCATGTAGCCAAGAACGTACCCACGGCACCGAAACCCTGTGTGATATGCGGCCTCAAAAGGGATGAACGAGTTACTGGAGTTGACTTTGATGTCGAGGATAGTTTCGGTGAGTGGTGGGTCGACTTCTGGGGACATAGGGCATGCAAGAACTTCTGGGTAGAGCACGAAGCCAAGTTGAGACAGCGATGATTATCAAGCAGCAGCAACAACAACAACAACAACAACCCAACTCTACTCGCTTGCCGCCAAACATCAACACCATGAACCATATGCGGGTATCCGGGCCGAGTAACTATCAGGCGGCCAGTATGCGTACTTAGGACTTACACGTGGACGCTCATGTGAAGAGAGTGCCAACGAGCGACGAGTGTGTAGGCTAAGCCGTACTGTATCCAGCTCGACTGGGGCCAAACTCCCACATCAGCCCCGCTCCTTTTGGTGATCGAGTGAATGTACAAGTTCAATCTCATCCTTGGATTTTACATGACACGCACTCCCTGGCCTCGTCCTATCTGTCTGCTCGCCTACCACAATAGCGACGTGTCACATGTGGGGGAAGTGCTAGCGTCTTAGCGAGCCTAGCTAAACACTAACGGGTTACGTCATACTTGGCACGCGAATGCGTTAAGACGCGGATTAGACCGTTATTAGCCTCCTCGGGGAGGCATTCGCCCGATCGGTTTCGGTCCGGGTCAGGACCCGGGAATTTGACGCCCGAATCCGCCAGCTCTAGACCTCGGCGCCCCATCCGTTTGACAACACGAACAACAACGCCACCACTACCACCTCCACCTCCACCACCACCACCAACAATAACAACATCCGCTTGGGCATCAACAGACAGACAGCACGTCAGAAACAGACACCAAGCCGAACACATCTTCCCATTACGAGAATTGTGACATCTCTCACCTTGCTCACACAGAAACCATGACATTGGAGGTTATCTTCGTGACACGCCACGGTGTAAGTGTACACTGACATCACCTTCCCTTTCCCCGTCCCTTTTTTAATTTCTTTCCTTTCTTATTCCCTAATTTCAAGCCGCTCCGTCTTCCCCGTCCGCGGTGACACTTTAGCACGTTACTTGCCATATCCTTGGTCTCGGCGTCGCAACTTGACATCAGTCTCTCCACGCAGAGGAAAATGGGCGTCCTCACGGCCACTAGGGAGATCACTCACCGCTGTGCCAGTGTCCACTCTGGTGCAAACTGTTATCAAAGCACGGGATAGCCCATATTGTTGTGATATGGAGAACAAGCTTTCCCATGGCAGACCTCCGGCGACCTGCCAGAGCGCCGACTTGGGACTGCTGACCTTGATTACAGGTAGAATTGAGCTGACGCAACAGGGACGGCTCACAGTTCCGCTCCAACTGGCTGGTCGACCATACCAACGGTAGTTACTCGTCCACTCTCAGGTCCCCTACGGGTATAGCCGCAGACCCAGCCCTCACAGCCCACGGCGTAGATCAAGCCAAGGAGCTGGGCCAGCGTTTGGTTGCAGTAGACCCGCCCATAGAGCGTGTTTACTCTAGTCTGTACTATCGTTGTTTACAGACGGTAGAGCCATTCGTCCGAGCAGTATCGACCTCTCCATCATCTTTGCCAGAAGAAGCCAAAGAGGGCACTCGCCACTGCCAGCGACAGCTGCGTGTTCGAGGAGAAACAGGACTAGGCGAGTGGTACGGTTCGGCGCCCTTCGAACACCCTGTACCTGCGAGCCTTGCCACGCTCGAGTCTCATTTCCCTTGCCTGCTGGACCGTGATTATCAGCTGGCAGTAGTACCGACACGGATGGGCGAAAGTGTCGATGAACTGCATGACCGCCTGGCTGTTACCTTGGAGCGGCTAATTGCCGAGTGTGATAGGGATGGCGTTCGTGCCGTTCTTCTCTGCTCGCACGCTGCGCCCATCATCGCTCTTGGTCGTGTTCTGACTGGCAATATGCCGGAGAACATCGAGGTCGAAGACTTTCGAGCCTTTACCTGCGGCCTAAGTGTGTTTCGGCGACGAAAGGGGGCTTCGTCAAGAGCCAACGGGTCTCGCACAGCCACCAACACGGCCAGTATGACTGCGGGCGCATCTCGGACCCAGACGGTGGCAAATCGCAGCATCAGCAGCGGCGTGAACAACACCAGCAACATCCTCGGCATCACTCCTGGAATGGCAAAGCAAACCCCTAAAGCAGGTACCGGTGATCTTCAGGGTGCGGAGAGTGATCCACGGCAGCAGGGTCTTCATGCTCCCGTAGTCTGGAGGGGTGGCCGAGGCGTAAAGGGTGGTTGGGACTGTGAACTGAACAGTGACTGTTCCCATCTTTCTCAGGGAGAGGAACGAGGATGGTAAGCGAGCTTTGATTAATCTAACGCTTTGTCATTATTTCACGACCCCTGATTTGTGAGAAGAGACACAACTAACCAAGCCACGCATAGGCGCTTCGCGGGCGATGAGTCCTTTAAGGATGTCCCTAACAAGAGCATACTGGATGCTGGAATATCACTGGGCGTCGTGGTGGAGGGCAACAATGAGAGTGGCAAGTCTCACGGGAAATCTTCCACTGGAGGCTCTCGTCTCTGACCAGAGAAGATAAGGGGGCGAGACTCGCTCTCCCTTACTTTCACTACTGCATGTCAGTGAAACAGAAGCCAAAACGGCATGTACAACAGAAACTACGAGGCGTGATCCTTCATGCATAAAACACGACAGTCAGGACATGAAATGCATAAATGCAACCCAAAAAGGCCCACGATATTCGAGACCGTCATGTCGATCTCGCCGAACAGTGATGGGCACTCGGACGCTTCATCATGGTATAACCCCTTCACTGAACAAAATTCAGCATTCATCACAGACATGCTTTTGCAGAAAGGGTCTCGCGATATGTCGATTGCCACGAGAATTCCCTCGTTTCCAATGTGGTGAACGTCAGACAGCTGTTGGCGAGTAACGAGAGAAGTAACGAAATAGGACAATCTTGCAACTATTCTGACTTTCGCCGCGCCCACTCCGGCTTTTACGCCGTGCTCCACGAAGCTGATTCAGATGACAGGGTGGGGAACAGCCAGTTACACCAGATCTAGCAGGTGGTCAGTTGGGCAATTCGGGCTAGGGATTGGAATTGGTTTTGCTAATTGCTGCTGCAAGCCAGAGGGGTTCGCTCGTGGCGCCGAGACGTCTATACGGAAGGCTGACGACGTTAGAGGAGGAACAACAATGCGAACACAATAGTGTGTACGAAAAAAACCGGGTCCGAAACAGTTCTTACACTAACGCCACTTCAAGCCTTCTCATCAAACGTACCCTTTGGTTGAGTTAACCTTTTCTTTGCTTCTTCTTCTTCAGAGTTTATCGTTTCTCTTTGGTTCTTGCACCACCGCACGGGAATGTTACCCGTCATCTCTCGACCGATGACGAATTTGAGTTCTCACTCCTCCATCCCATAGGTGTCACCATCATTATCGAAAAGCGTTTCTGGAAGGCCTATCCAATCACTCCCACAATGTCCTTTCTTTTCCCTCCCACCCAAACTTTCGTCAGCTGTGCGTAATCGAGAGGCGGTCAGAGAGGCAGAGAGAAGCAGTAACCTTGCTGCATTACACTCTTCCACAGCAATGGCGTGGCAGCGCGAGATGAGAGAATAGACGGGGGAAAGATGTGTCTCGTGGTTGTAATCAGATTTCATGTTAAAGGGCGGTACGGAAAAATTGACACATCACAATGTTCCCCTCCTCCTCCTGCTCCTCTTCCATGTCGAAAACCAGGGAATCTTTTTTTAATTCCATGGCGGTTGACACACGGCCCTATCTCGCTGAGAGATATTGGCGGTGCGCAGTGGCTGCGAATAATCCCTTGCAGCCTTTTTCGACTGTTTACAGGCCCAGCAACCAAAGTAAACAAGGGGATTGACTGGAGGAAAGGAAAGCTAACCGCAAAAAGATGGAGCCGCCCAATGCTGGTATTAACCTGTACAAACAGTACAAACCTAGCTTTTCTAGTCCAGCTTTGCGAGTCCCGTGAGAGTGGACAGAGTAGATTGGCAGGATGCAATGCAAGAGTAATTGATGATCATCGAGATGAGATCCGATCTCGTCGGCTCCCTTGTCGTCACTATCAACTGGTTACTCTTCTGTGACCGCGAAGCAACGTCAAGGCCACCAAAAAAAAAAAAAAAAAAAAAAAAAAAAAAAAAAAAAAAAGAAGCACAAGCGAATGCCGAGTCGAGTTAACTCAACGAGTGCCTTCCTTTTGACAAGAGAGAACCAGGCATGGCGTTACCTATATGAGGCTATGACCGACGGGACTAGTCGACATTCCAAGAACGGTCAGGCTGGAAAGGGACTACATACCGTGCCCATTGTGTTCGGGCACCGCACCAAGCTCAAGGACCCTGGAAATGTCCTTTCCCAATTCAGTCAGACTTGACGTCTATCGGATTACGCAGTTGCAAGGTATAGTTGCGAGTGCGTTTTTCTTATTGGTTATTATATAGCCCATGATTTCTATCAAGGCCTCTACACCACAAAATGGTGGCTACACTATGGATTCTACTATCGCCGCGTATAGCCCTACGCGTACATCACACTAGCGACTGCATATCTTGAAGTTGATAGTGTATACTGACTAATGTAGTCATTTACGGCCAAGCCTCGTGACATTGACGTTGCTCTGCACATTCACACGGTATATCAAGACCGTGTTAGATGCCGGCCGCACTGAACACCGAAGAGCATGAAAACCTCATACTACTGGTGTCAAGCACGTTGTTCGGGTTCACCAAAAGTGGTGCGCACTACAACCGACTTCAAGGCATTGTGATATCTATCGTCCCGTTGTGTCAGGTCTCGTCATTCCCGTCTAACGACCAACCGCCCACGTTCCCACTCCAGTTTCCCGGGCTGTGGTAAGAACGATGCTACCCCGAATGGTAGTGTGCACTATCTATTCATTTCATCCACCACCTAGCACCCTGGACAACAGCGAGCGAGGAAGCGGATCCCCAGCATCAAAACATCATGCAGCCATGGAATTGTCGATGGAGATCCATGGTCTGGACAAGATGGGATGGATTCTCACTGCTGTCGAGAACGAGTTTGATGCAAGACAAGGGAAGAGAAGGAAATTGCCCATCCAGTAGACACACAGCTGGGTATCTACCAATCACGGGCGGTAAACCCACGTATGAGTACACGAAGGACGGAAGACATATGTAGGGCACTGCCTTTTCTTGATAACACTACTCAAAATGGCCGAAGTATCAGTCACTCCAATATTCGGGAAAGGTTACCGGATCTGCCGATATCAGATCCGCCCATCCGGTACCATAACCTCCCCCGGATATCGATCTACGACTCTAGGTTGGGTCCCAGCAAAAGTTTGGAGGCGGCGTCTTGGGGTTCATCTTCCCGCTCCCCAACGTGTGACTGTGGCTTAAGCTGAGGGGAACGCTACCTTTCTGGTAACAAGAAGCGAGTTTCATCGTTTTTGGCACTGCCTATAGACGTATTCGGCTACGAGCTGGGTGGTTTTCTATAGTGCCAGCACCACCACCTCTTTGGCTAGAACCAGTACATGTTTATTTCCTCTCTATGAACATTACCAGACTGACAACCACGAAGCAACCGCCACGGGTGTACCAGACAGCTGGGTTCGCTGCAAAGGGCTCTTCCTTGCGAGAAAGTGGATCCGGAAAGAAATCCGCGCGCTGCAGACCTGCAAGGGGATGTGCCTGTGACTTGCCAGACAACAACAACACACACACACACACAGCGGCTGGTGAAAAGCCAGACACCACGCAGCCCAACCCTCGAGGGTATGTGGAGCCAACCAACTAATGCACCGACCTGAATCTTTAGTTGAAGCTGAATCGGTTGACGGTCCAATCGCTGACATTGGTCACTATCCCCGGCTCTAATCTCTAAGAAGTGCAAAATGAGGGGGAAGTTGACGGGGTTGAGCTTCTCTGAGCGACGAGTGTTGCACAATATGGGAAATCTCTTCCGCACCACCATGGATGGGGAGAGGATGAAAATGCACCTGGAACTGAAAGTGGTATGGCTCCGATATGCCATCCAAGCAAGGGGGTGACAGAATTAAGGGTACACCCAAATTGACCAACATATGCGCATTTTACCATTTTGGACATCCATCATGAACAAAGACCCTCAATTCTTGGCCTAGAGTTGCACCTTCAAATCTCAACCAAAGTGCCTACCATAGAGTTCATTCTGTTCAGAATTAACCGGTCCTTCTTCAAGTACAACACGAGGCTTCAACTGCCATTTTATTTCCCAGAAACCCAAAGACAAAGGCGCCCTTCGCTTTGGTTACGGTTTTTGGTGATTGGTGTATCACAATTCTGTCACTCCTTCTGCCAAGGCCATGGCTACGCAGACGCAATATGCATGTGAGAAGTCAGGCAAAGTCCGATACGCACGGTGTAAAGGGGTCTGTCATAGGTACATGGTATTTCTCTTTCGCCTTTTCCCAAATCTACGTATGTACATAAATACTCACGCCCATTACTAAGAGCCATTCAACAAACGTCGCTAACCGCAAGTGGGCAGATCTGCCTTCTTCAACCACACCCAAACGTTCCCATTGGCCGAATAAACAAAGAGTTTCAGAGTTTCCACCTACATGAGGTACTTCCACCAAGTAGACCGGCGTTCGGATATCGAAAGCGAGATGCTACGCCACCACACAGTCGATCCCGGACGTTTTCTCCCTCCAACAAAAAGACAAGACTAGCCCAAGCATTATGGCACCCCGAAATCACTGCCTCTTCCAGAATGCGGTACAGTACTGCTGGACACGAGAGTCGTCTGCAACGGTGGGTTCCAGGCCTGGGTCTCCTTGGGTTACCCTTCCTTCCACTTGGCCCTCAATGCCGAGCTCAACTTCGATGACCGCTACATCACAATATCCCTCATCTGCTGCTGTCCCAATAACCATGATGACTTCAAGTTCCAGGTTTTTGGAAACAGATAGGTGCCAGCCTTTATGGATGAAGCTTGTTGGGGGGCTTCATAGTACGCCTGGGAGAAGCAAAACCAGTTCGTTCCCGCCCCGCAACTGAGTAATACCCCTTGAGCAGCCGGAGTCAACAATGCATGGTTCTCGGGCCCCCGGACGAACGTTGCTAAGTACCTCGGCGGCTGATTGGGACTAATTCGCCGCCTGCTTGTCTCAGACATTATACCGCTCATGAGAGAACTTGTCCTTCTGACGTCCTGGCTGCAATGCCCGGCCGGGGCCACCACAGTTAACAACACCAACATCCCTTACTGCCACATACCTCTACTAGTGTAGTGTACTCATCTAACTGGAAAGTGCGTGTCGTTGTCCAAATGTTGACATAACCGTCCGCCAACGGCCGCTTGGCGAATATGGGGTCCCCACGTCGACGACATGGTGTCTTCGTAGGGTGAGCATAAGTGGTAGGGCAGAACGGAGCCTGACAAGGCGATGAGGAGAGAGAGATCAATCGTAATGGCCTTACCGCTGATGGGTGACAACAACAGACACGCACGTTAGGAAAGACACTAGACAGTAAACTCATGTAGGATCTGCGTACTAGTGATCCCCACTTGTCTATCCTACCTAGACTGCTACCTCAAGTACCTGTCGCTCATTCAGTTCCTGGCCAGCTGCACTGGGATAAATAATGCATGCCGATTGATTACGGATAGGCTAGACTATCTTTGGGCTGCCGGGCTTGTCTATACTATCGTGAAACTCGCATGCTGCCAAATGCGATGGGGGAAGATCTCTATCTGCCACATCTACGGGGATGTCTGTCTTCGAGACGATGGAGGCGACCAGGTTGCAGATGTCATAGCTACTCCCCCCCCCCCCCCCCCTCTCCTGCTCCTGCTCCTCCTCCCCTTCTCCTCCAGACCCCATTCGTTATGTATATAGGGTTAAAAGGTCCCTTGATGATCTCCATCCAGGGTCTCGGATTGTCCACAAGCATCACCTGTACACTTGCTTTGTATCATCACACTGTCTGTTCTTGTCTCTCGTTTGCCTCGCTTTGGACCCCCAAAGTCGACAAAGTCTTTACATAAACCGCTCCGAATCCCACCTCGTCAAATCCACGACACTGTCACGGCATCGATTCACTTCAGTCATCATTGACAACCTCAAAGATACACTTCAGCACCACAAGTCATCACCATGTCTTCAGAAACTTCACGCCATTTGTCCTCTCGGGAAGAGTTTGAGTCAAGGACACTCGCTCCTCTCAAACTCCCCAACCTCAGACTCAACGAATTGAGCTTCCCATCGCCACCGTCGACCCCTAACTCGATCCAGTTGAGCCCAAGTTGTAGCTTCCAGTCGGTATCATGGAGCAGAAGGCCATCAGTCGACTCGGACTACTTCTCCGGAGCCCTTTCCAACCTCTCCATCACTTCATCAGTGTCCTCTGCTGGATCAGACTTGAAGAGAAAGGCAAGCAGCACCTACTTGGACACTCGTCCAGGGCCAAGCATGCGCAGTTTGCTCGAACCACAGCAGCAGCAGGTCTCTCTCCCGCCCATTTCTCACATTCTCAATGCCGTACCCTCACCCTTTGAGCATCAGCTCAGCCAGCATCGGCCCCAGGCATCCCCGGATTATACTTCACGCTTCGCACCTTTCCAGCAAGGCATCTTCACCCCGCTGCCATCTCCGACTTGCAGCATTTCATCATCATCATTCCCAAGCCAAGCACAGCGCCAACAATCCTCTTCCCTACCACGGTCCTACTCCGTACCAGACGTGTGCTACAAGAACTTCTCTGCTACGCTGTCGGCCACCACTCCTCAGAAAAAGAGACAAGCATCGGCGGCTTTTGAAAATGCTTCGGCCCGCTTCCTGTCGTCCTGCAACATCAGCAACAAACTTCAAATTCGCCCAAGCAGGACTCATCGCACGACAAGCAGACACTCACCATACAAAAGCGCCGCCGCTCTGCACCGCAACAGCGACCGCAAGTCATCCACCTGCTCGTCTGGTTCTTCTTCTTCTTCTTCTTCTTCTTCATCGTCATGCTCGCCTGGCTTTGCCACAGACGACGAAACATCCGAGGTTCCCGACGAGGACGAAAACCTCCCCTCCACCTCCTCCAACGCCAGCAGCAGCAACAGTAGTAGTAGTAGAGGCAAAAAGCAAAACATCCAGTACACGACCGAGCAAAATCTCTTCATCATCTACCACAAAGACGACCTCGAGCTTCCCTGGGCCGAGATCGAGAAGCGGTACAACGCGCGCTTCCCCGGTCTTTACCGGACTGCGGGTGGGTTGAACTGCAACTACTACCGACTCAACGCCAAGCTGCCGCGAACCGAAGACGGAGACAAGTTCTCGCTCATCTTTGACGAGCGGCCCCGGTACGACCCGGAGAACCCGGGCAAGATGTTGCCGTTGACGTGGGACGAGTACGAAGGTGTGAGGTTCCAGACTGTTCATGTCCAGGTTAGGCAGGCGGCCAAAGTGTTGGGACACCCGATTGGACTTATGTGGAGGTGTCCGGAGGAGTTGATCAAGAGTGAGAATGAGTGGGTGTTGGAGGAGCATAGGGATAAGGCTAGGGAGCTGGGTGAGTCATTTTTTCCCCCTTCCCCTCTGTCTGTCAACCGATATGAAGGTCAAAAATGAGGAAAACGAGGCTAATGATTGGTGATGACACCAGCTGCGAGAAGATCCTACCAGAGAGAAGCGTGGAAGAGGAGTCAGCAACAACAACAACATCAGCAACAGCAACAGCAACAACAACAAGATCAACAACACAACCAGCAACATCAATCTCTCATCTTTAATTCTGAACAATTCCGATGAAGATTCCATTTTCTTTGTTGTTTCTATGCAACTATACTAAAACTCTTACGAGTTTCACCTCAACTTCTAGTACATCTGAGACGCATACACGTTTTTCTTCTTCTTCTGATCCATATCTTTTTTTATATCCAATTCTTTCCTTTGTACAAATTTCCTTGCATATTTCTGTGTATCCTCTACAAAACATACAGAGCAACACCTGCCAACTTATCATACCCTTACTAGAGGGTGGCAGTCGTCACTTGATCTTTTAGTAGGCAGGTGTTCAAAGGCGAAAAGGCGAAAGTCATGGGTTCTCGAACTGTGTATGGGCCGGTATGGGACATGAGATGGAAAGGGATGGCTGCATATGTTTTTTACAGGTACGGGCTAATTCGTGGAGGCAACGGTGACGCTTAATTTAACGAACGAGTTCGATTCCATCATTTCCGTTCCATCTTTCCTTGCCGTCTCTGTCTATGTACTATTATTATCAACAACACAAAAGTGTCTTGACGCATAGTCCCTGCGATAGCCAGTGGTTGGGAGAGAATATGGCTACGTCTGGACCATTTTGCGGCATTGGGTGGCTCTACATTGCTATGGAATTTTACAACTGCTTCAAAAACAAGACCAGGTTCGGTATTCCGATTTGAAGCCCTTCGTGCTCGTTTTGATTCGTGACTTTTTTTTTTCTGTCCCCTCTACCGCATAGTAGATAGGTAGAGGTAGAATCTATCGGCCCATCCATCTATTGCGAATCGGTCTCCAGAGGCTTGGCCTCCTCACCATTCCCCTTTTCCTCTCTCCCTCTTCCTCCTTTCCCGGCACCTCCCCTTCCACCACCACGTCCCCCTCTCTTACCACCACCACAACCACCACCACCACCACCAGCAGCAGCCCTCCCCTTACCCATCGGCATCCTAATCTCTAACCCTTCCGGCAAATCCGCCACCTTCTGTCCATGCTTCCACAACAGTCCCACGCCCTGCCTTCTCCCCTTAACCTCTTTGAAATACTTGAGCGGGACCAACCCGTCCTTATCGCCCCCCGTCAACACCACGCCATTGTCGCTCATCCACCACTTGATCCCCTTTCCTTCTTTATCCCCCTCCGCTTCCGCGTCCCTGATACTCCTCTCGACATCCACAAAAACCAACACCTCCGCATCGCTCCTCATCCCGCTGATGACCCCCCTCTCCGTATCCTCCGGTAAACCCGTGGAGAAATGCACGTGGTTCCGACCCATGGGTTTGAGTCCGCCGCTCTGGATGATCTTGTCCCAAAAAGCAAAGTACGTACCGTGGACGACCGTTTCGGGGATCGGTATGGTTCCTCCTCCATCTTCCCTTTCTCTCTCTTGGCCCTCCGAGCCCTCCGTCGTCTCTTGGCCTTGCTGCTGCTGCTGCTGCTGCTGCTGCTGCCCACCACCCCCCAAAACCAACCGCCTCAACAACCCTTCACTCTCCAACTTGATCGAATGCCCCTGATTCGCCCTGATCAACCAATCCCCCGCCTCCTCACTTCCCTCATTGTCCTCTTTTCCCGGCGCCAGCTTGATAGCAAACCGTTGCTTATCGCTCTCCTTAACCGCCTTCAAGATCTCTGGAAACGTCGGCTTCAGCGAGCGGATCGGGCCCCATGCGAGAACCTTGTCCAGAGGCGCGTACCCTTCGGCGTCGAGGGTGATACCTGCGGAGGCGGCTTGGTGACGGAGCAGGCGGGATAAGGCGCGCGAGAGGTCGACGTCGCGACCACCCTTGCGATGACCGCCATGACCACCGGATTTGGGACCGCGACCGCCGCCGCGGTTGGAGCGGGAGGCGCGGTCGGCGAGGTCTTGGTGGTGAGTTGCTTGGTCTTCGGCGGGGGAAGCCATTTTGTGATGATGGTTATGGCGGTGATGGGGTGTGGTTTTGGCGATGGTTGTGGTTGTGGTGCTGTGAGCGGGTTAGTGGTGGGCTGCCCTTTGAAACGGAGAAACTTTATGTTGAGAGATCAAGTACCTATGAATGGAAGCGCGTCTCTGTCCGACGATGAGCAGTCTTGAAAGTCGCGGATGAGTTGGGTTAATAGTGAATCGAAGTTTTCCAACACCCCCAGCAGCAGTCAACAAAAGGTTGCTGTTGCCGATGCTGGATGCGATGAAAAATTCTTGTTAGCAGTTAGACTGGGGGTCACTGAGTGGATGACCGTTTCGATTCAGTCCAGGGTAGGCAGCCAGAGATCACAAATCACAAACGCACTTTCTCATCCAGATTTTTGAAGAACCTCGTCTCGTCGTGCTTGGTTTCGACGAGTTGGATGGAAAGAAACGAGGTTGATTGATTGAAGATGGGATGAGATGGATGAAGTGTGGCTGGATGAGGTGCCTCTGTACAAAATAATTGGCACAATGATCCGTTTGGTTCAATTGCCAGAGTCCGTAAGTCTGCGCATGAAAACCCGCATCATGAAATCATGCTGACCTTTCTAATTCGCCCCAAATACAACCAAGGCTTCATTCGGACAAATAGCATCATTTCATTGACGATTGATGGGCTTGAACAGATTCAACGATACGAGATGAAAACTGTAAAGTATGCCACGCCGACATGAGTCACTGCCGAGCTCAACTTACACTTCGCTAAGCTCACCAAAGTTGGGAGACATTGGGGATATCATACTCTTATTTTTTGTAGTTGGAATACATCCGGTTTTCGCTTTGCTGCTCAATGAATATGTCTACAACGGTGATGCACGCTGACGCCCATGTTGCACGAGACTGACAATCGGAACAAAGTACAAAAAGCTAAAAATGATTGGATCAAAATTCCAAGATATCAAACAAGCCCACCACATCCTCGCACAGTTATAGTGTAGACCTTATCGCATTCGCGCAACAAACCACCGCGTTGAATTGTAAACCATCCTACCCTCACCATGTCACCGTAGCCCCGTCCGTCCGCGTATTCACATGTATGTATGAAACAGGGTATTTAGTATGTAACAACTTAATCTTATAAGGTACCGTTGATGTATGCATGCATTGCAAAACGTGCAATGCTGTATGCTGTCCGTCCAAACAGTTCCTTTCTCCCCCCTTTTCGTCGCCCGTAAAGGTACGGATGATCTGACAAAAGAAATTCGTTACAAAGAGATGTGGTAATGTGTTATGCCTTCTTTAGGCGTCGTCGTCAAGAAAAGAAACAAAACGAGGCTTTCTCTAGCCCCTCGGTGCCCCTCAGAAGATAGATCGAATGAAAGAGTGTGTGTAGGATGTGGGTTCCTCCCGACTTTCCGCTTCGTTTTAGTCAATCAGACAAACGCGAAAGACGGAGAAAAAGAAGAAAAATGAACAAGGTATAATAAAAGATAACGCCCCACGCCCAGATGGTATATGTCGAAAGTGTTGTTGATGTTGTTGTTACATTCATGAACAGCATGGTCTGAACGTCATAAGGGGGCATGAATTTCCCGCAATTTTTTTCACTTCCCCCACCGCCAGCGCCACCATTACCTCCTCTCCTCAGCTCCTTCTCGTCATCTGTATCCGCCAACCTGCTGCGCGCTGGCTTGCTGCTGTTGTTGTTGATGTTGCAAATTCGATGTGGAAATACTGGGTATTCCCGAGTCACGCGTCCGTCGGCTGATACTACCAGTCCGATTGAGCATCGCCGTATGGCCCAGCGACAGCTGGCGCTGCGCCCTCTCCTCCGCAAGCCTTTCCGCGTAGCTGCTGGCCACAATGGTCTCCCGCTCTCCACCTGCTGTTCTGTCGAGGTATCGACGGCTGGCCGAAGGTTGTATTACAGGAGCAGTAGGAGCGCTCAGCCTGGAACTAATCGAGGTAGGGACCATGCGCCTGCGGGGCAAAGCCGAAGAGCCAAGCGGAGTGTTGTCGGGAGGAGACGAAGCTTGACTGGTGAGTTCGCGTGGAGTACCTCGCAATCCATTGACCTCTGTTATGGCCCTGGACGGGGTGCGATACCGGTCCTCGTCCTCTTCATTAAAGACTTTTCGGGAACGCAGCAGCAACGATGTCTTGCGGCCCTCGGCAGGCATCTCTTCTTGTTCCTCTTGTCCTACTCTCCGGCTCCTCAAAAGCAACGACGACCTCCTGCCATTGACTTGCTCCTCCGGTTCCTCTACCGCAACCCGACGGTTCCGAGCCAATAGCAAGGACGACTTTCGCCCGGGTGTACCAAAGTCAACTGGGGTAGCTGGCACGGCTGAAGTCCTGGGACTCGGCAGAGCACTCGCAGCCAAGAGTGATATCCTTCGCTGTTCCATTGTCGTTGGAGCCCTAGGACTAGTGACGCTCGGTTGTGGCAATGCTGTCTCTACCATAATACTCGATCGTCGCCGGCCTGTGATGCCTGTGAACTTGGCCGCCGTTGTTGGTGTTATGACCTTTTCAGTCTCGCGGTTGGGAGCTGCGGACTGAGCTGGTTTGGACTGATTAGCTTCATCCGTCAATGCGATACACAGCTCAGTCAAGCTCCTGCAGATGCTATCCGCTTTCCTTCGGAGCTGCCGATCCGTGACACCACTACCATAGCCCCCAACAACACTCGCGCCGCTCGATATCGGCCCCGGCTGTCCGGCAGCACCAATCATGGAAGTCAAAGCCAAGGCGTCGTTTGCTGCCGATTCAATGGCATTGAAAACTTCAGCGCTGATCAGACCTTTTGTCTTCAACAGGGCTGATAGGAGAATGGGTTGTGTTTCCCGTGATGACGCATTACTAGCCGTCTCTCCGTGGTTAACAGTAGTCCCTCCCGATCCACGCTTCGGCGACGCGGACATGGTTGTAGCATTGGTCGTCGCGGTAGGTGGACGCTCCTCTGAGCTCCTGGAATTTCCTGCCCCCGCCGGTGGCTTCTTCCCCGTTCGCTCCAACCTGTGAATGCGAGACTTCAAGTCGTCCAGCTCATCCCAAACCGTGGAGGGGTCCGCCGTCGATGTCGAAGAATCCGTTCCTTCTGCGCCTTGATTGGTCTCCGCGTTCTGACTGGTTTCCGGTCTTTGTGGCTCAGGAGCTCGGGGGACCAATGGAGAGGAGTTGTAAATCCTGCCGCCAACGGCAAGATTCGAGTTCCGAAATTGCGAATTCCTCCCCACAGATGAGATGTCAGCAATTGACGATCTTCGTGTAAGTCCGGCGCCCGCCTCATAAGCATCCTGAAACGCTATCTGCCGGGGGGTTGGCGGGGCTTGTCTGAGGGACGTTCGGACAGACTGGGAGCGACCGAGGTCCTCCTGAGCTATGTGGGTGATGAGGCGATCTCTCGGGATACCTCGAAGATTCGGTTCTCGGGCTGCTTGTGGGTCTGAAAGCAGCCGGCTTCTGGACGATATTGTGTCGCGGGAATCAGAAAGTCGGCGGTTGGCTACCTGGGGCGGTGATGATGTCTGATATGATGGTATCGCTGTAGACAGTGGTCGACGATGGGAGGAATTTCGGTTTATGCGTGACTGTCCGCCAATTAGCCAATAAGCTACCGCGCAATTTTCAAGGGCGAATAGCAAACACCCCAAACAAAGCGACTTACAGTTGCGCTCTGATCCTCAGTCCGGGTGTGCGCCGGCCGAGGTGCTGGATCCTCGCGGGCAATATTCATGAAGATCTCGGCCGTATTTTCATTGTCGGAAGCTGCAGTAGCTGAATCTGGTGGTGTCATTCGCGACATGTCGTCATCCCGTTTGCCCTCCAGGGCCCTCAATGCGCGGTCTCTCTGGGTTGAGTTCGACATGTCCCCCTCGTTTGTATCGCCCACAGTGCGCCCGGGATCGTAGTCGGAGTCGGAAAACAGGTCGTCGCGAGATGTCGAGGAGCGTAACGACCGGGTCGGGGAAGTGCTTGCTTGCCCTCCGGAGTCGCGACCGGAGGCACTCGGGACAATGGCGGGTTTGGAAGAGGCTGGCGGACGGGATCTCCTCTTCTCATTAACCTGGCTCAACTTGATGGTCGCGGGCGGTACCGGTTCGCGTGGGCCCTGCGCAGTATCGATGGAAGGTAAAAGTCGGATCGACGTCGTTTGGCGACGTTTCCCAATGGGTGTTACGGTAGATGCAGGCCGGTATCTCGACACATACGGGCCCCTGGCGGCACTATGGCTATCGCAGACGGAAGAGGCTGGGCGCTTTGAGCCAATAGACGAGTCTTGTGCTGTTGGCGAAAAGGGCTGGAACGTCGAGGCTCGAATGGCAGCAGAGTCTTGTAATCGCTTGTGGGCTTGTCTTGGCGGTGTTTCTGCGGATCGTTCTTCTTCAGCAGACAGCTGCGGGCGTTTGACGAAATTGGGATGGAACGGGCTAGTCGGTTGGGGTTGCTTTTGTTGTCGCTGCTGGTTAAATTGTGGTGGACTGGCAGGTGCGCCTAGCTGTAGGTTAAAGGGTGATTGCGCAGGGACTACAGCTGTCGACGAGACAGAGGCCCGTCTAGATTTATTATTAGGTGAAGGTGGGATGTGGATGGGCTGCAGCGAAGGGGGGAAAAGTGATGCGTCCTTTTTCAGGTCGGCGAAGCGAAAAGCGGGAAGTTTGGATGAGTTGTGGTTTTGACGGTGCGTATGATGGACGTTGATTTCATCAGCAGTCTGTACGGCAATGCCGTTGCTGGTTGCTAGGCAAGCGGTGGTACTGGCAGTTGTTGTGCCGGTGTTGTAGGTGTCAAGGTTGGATCCAGGCCCAGGCAGCTGGTTGGTGTTGGAATTGGAGGTGATGACGGCGGAATTGTGCTTCTTGCCCCCTGGAGTTCGAGTTCCGGCGCTGTCCGTGCCCTTCTTGGTGCCGGTTCCTCTTCCACTTCTGCGCAATTGTGTGCGTCCTGTGGCTGCTGTGGGTGAATGTCGTGTTGTGGTGAACGAGTCCACTGTGAAGTGAAATGTGGAAGCAGCCCCAGGGGCAAGGCCCTGGCCCCCCAAACTGGACGATGTCATGTTGCAAAAACTGGACCCGCGCCGTTCGACGCCGTTGCTCTCGAATCCCGGACTGTGGGCACTTGACGTGCCTTGTTCCTCCACTGCGCAATTCGGAAATCCCCTGTCTCCCCTGACCGATCCACGCCTAATAGATCGTCTTGGGCTAGGTATTCGGGCCTCTTCTTGTTAGATTCCACGCAATCTGTGGTTGGATTGGCTTCCAGGCCCGTCTCTCAGTTGCGCTCCTGACATCACAATGACACGGGACTTTGTCCACGGGAGAACAAGGCGTGATCCCCTTGGGCTAACGGCGGCCCAGTCGTGCGCATGAACTGTATACAGGCTTTGAACATTTAACTGCCAAGCTGGAACCACAGCATGACCCGAGTGAATATACAAGATATTAAAATTGCAATCGATAACGAAACTTGTAAAAGGGCAAAGGAGTAAACAAGATGATGGCGGCAAGGATGAGGGTGGAAAAGAGTGGAGAGAACTTGATATGACAAGCGAGGAGACCACTCGTACCCAGCACGATAACCCCCGATGAAATAAGATGAACGGGTGATGCGACTTGACTTGGGCGGTCTCAACCCTAGATGAGCATGAGCGAGCACAGATGGCACAGATGGTCGGTGAGCAGCTCCCAAGCAAGGAGAAATATCGATGAAATTGATGGCGTTGACACACATACCAACACAACAGTCAAGGAAGTCACGAGTGAGGCGACTGATGGTTGGAAGAGAGGGTTGAGTGTTCCTAGACACCTGACGGTTACCTCATGCCACTGATGCCAGACATATCGACGAGCCCTCCCTCCACTCGGATTGGTATAAGACGACGGGCGAATGATGACGGGATTGGCCCGAGCTGCAGAACTGCTGCATCGTGTACCGCAAGATACTATATGTAAGTGTTCTGCAGGGCGTGCGCAGTCAACTGGACTGGTGGGAAGCCAGGGAGCTGCGGAATGATTCTGCAATCCCGCCTCCAGATAGACGGCCCGTCAACTGGGCGTCCAAAAGTCGATCGTCGTCAGTCATTGGGGGCAGCAGCAAGGGATCGATTGGGGATCCAGAACTGCGGGAACGGAACGAAGGGGGGACTGAGGGGGTGGGTTTTCACTTTGTCGTTTGTCCGAAAGCCGTCATTGCAACGAGTAGGTACACCAGCCTATAAGGAGTCTCAAGAAGCCCTTTACAAGTTCAAGAAGAAGGCCAATGCTAAGTCCTTCTTTTCCGGCTCCTCTTTGGCCATGTGCGCATGAAGCTAAGAAGCGGAAGACTAGGTACCTACTGCACGACTATAGTGGTTCAGGGTCTGGTAGGGCGAGCCGGCAATTCAGGCTTCTGATTGGGCTGTCTCTTCCACCTGCAAAGGGGCAAGTGGAAGATCATTGGATGTTGAATGTCATCATAATCTAGAATACCTCTACACCTTGCAGTCGACAGCTTTCTGGTGCATGTGCTATAGCGCTAAAATGAGTGAGTCTGTTCGGTACCTGAATCAGCAGTATTCTAATGGTTACATGTCGTTAGGAGAAGGTGTTGAAAAGAGTCGACCACGGCTAAGAGGCGGCGCAATCTTCCGTCTGCCCACACGCCCAACCCGTCTTCAACTGGACCCCGCATGTCACCTGCCTCTTTTTTTTTCTCTCTCTCTCTCTCTCTCTCTCTTCCGTTCGTTTACATATTATGCGGAGGTTTGGGAAGCGACGTCTCCAGTTCGCATTGATTCCTCATTAATATTGGGGGTTCGATATTATATTCAGAGGGTAATATGTCACCCCGACCCCGTGATGTCGCGCGTGCCGTGTCATCAGGACCTCTTGGTCAGACGGGTCTCCGGTACACTAGTTAGGTAATGTTCCCCCACGTCCCCCTTGTTGGGCTCCTGAGTCCTACCTTGAACCCCAGTGCTTCATGGCGACCTCCAACCGGCCAAACCCCCCTGTGCCCCCGTGCTCTAGCAAAGAGTTTGGGGGTTGTCAATTAAAAGGTAGGCCCTGTCGTGCTCGACAAAGGCTTTTCTTTGCTAACCAGTATTCAAAAAAATTTTTTAAAAAAATAAAGCCTTTCGTAAGGTTACCCCTTGGCTTGGCCTGTGAGGCTAGGCTTGCGAGTGTGTAAGCGAGGGGGGATCTACGCGAGGATGAGGCCGGAGAAGAAGCGAATATGTTTTATCCCCATGTTAACTGCCATATAGCGGTAGAACTAACGATAAGTGAAAGGTTGAGGAGCAGTCAACGTGGTAGAAGGAAGTTTGGAGAAAAGAGTTACGCGTCACCATGGGCACTCCAACACCAGAGAGGTTCCCATGATAGCGCGACTTGACCCAGCCTAGCCTGATTTGGGCTGCTCTCTCCACGTCCCAGAGTCCCAGGGCTAAGCAAGTGGCATGCGCGGAGGCTGAAGGCGATCCTGGTGACGACGACACGAAACCTCCTCCCGTCTGTATTGGGGGTTGATTCCGATCTCCTGCAGAAATAGGCGGAAATCGACCAGGGGAAGGGGGCAAAGAGAAGGGTCTGCGAGATCCGCACGAAGCGACCGGCAACTGGTCAATGCCGGGTACTGTAACTTGAAGTGGCCCTCTGTGAGGTGGTTCAGGCGTGCCAGCTGTCTCGTAAACGTCGATAGCCGAAAGCATGGCCGACATCCTGCTTCCGCGGTTCTTCTCGGATGTGGTGATCCGTCCGGTCTGTACAGGACCAGGAGGATTGGTCCTGGTTGCGGAGATCGGTTGTGTGCCGAAGTCTGAAGACTCGCAAAGTTGGGGACTGAAAAATGGCGGCGGCCAGGTCACGAACTGTATCCCATAGGCGAAGTCTCTACAGCGCAGCGGTTTCTGTGCTGGCGAAACTGGTGTTTTGATTCCATGTCTCGGGAGCAATCGCCAAGGTTTACAACCTAGAACCGACAGGCACTGGAGCCCGGATGTGAGGACTGGACCAGGCGATACAGGTTACCGGTGTGTGATGTATGGAACTGCCAAAGCGGTTTCGTCTCGTTGGATGCACATGTATGTTGCAAATAACGCTGCTAGAAGCAGACCGGCCCAGACCGTTTTAAGGGCATTTTCATCGAAGGGCCGCCGAGACCGAATGGTCAAACGAGTGGTGGGCTTTCCGAGTGTCGCATTCCATCTTGCAAGAGGCTACACTACTTTATGTAAATCTTTCGAGGCGGGAGACACACTACAATTGTGAACGTGGAGCCATTTGGGTTGTATCTGAGATGTCTCATGCACGCTCACAGGTTTGGAATGTTTGCATGTACAGTATCGGGCCAGTGTCAACAAGGAAGGCATTGCAAGGTAAGAGAAGGGGTCCATACTATGCTTTTCTACTGTGACAACATCATCAATCCGTCTTGGAGAATTCGTGATGCGTCGATTTTTCCCAAGGTCATCCCCGTGATGATCATCGGAGTGACCGACCTTTGGAAAAATAGCAGATCGGCGTGCACAGCTCGTCGATCATGGTCGATGTTGAAGAGGCGACGGTTGTGGTGAACCCGGAGAAAGGTTTTCCGCTCTCGACGAGTGGGAATTGGTCCAAGTGTCTCCCCAGCAACACGAGCCAGCTTCCACAGCGAGGAGAACTCCACGATCAGCTAAACGGTCATCCTTGCCTTGTCTCCGCTCTTGTTTCAGCTTTTGGGATTGGTGTGTGATTGGTTGTCAGGTACTGTGGTTAATTACTCCACCTGTTCCAACCGATAAATTTTGCCATGGACACAGTTGAAAAGGATGCTGCAACGCACTGTAGGTACTTTTTGGAGATCCATCGCTGCGCTGAGTGAGTGCAATTCCACGAGACGTGTGATCATCAACTGGCTCGAAGCCATAGGAAGCAATACAAATGATTCATATCTTAAACACAAGGTTCAGACCTAACAGACATGATCGAAGGGGTCTTTCGAATCAATATGTCTCAGTCTTGTCTGTATACATACTGCGTGTTGTATACTACCTTGGGGACTCCTATGCTACACTGGCCGCCAAACTTTTTTGGTGGATACAGAGGGATTGATTCATAGCGTGACTACCTACTACTCCAAGCTCCTCTTGGGACGGCGGGGACCCCGCTTCCTTAGTTGTGACTTTTCTGCAGAACAGGAGCGATGTGGTGTAGTCGGCTCCGTTAGTGTGAGCACTGCGGCTCCGTGGAGTGGATACAGACGGACGGACATCCGGTATGGGAATAGCATCCGGCCAGATCTCCGACCGGCGGCTATGTGTAGACGGACACGCGGACCTCGAAGCGAGAAGATTAGGTTGCGGCATAGCAGCTGTTCCCATGCTATGTATGTAGTGTAAGCGCCAGTGGCAATATTTTAGGGGACGAGTCGCAGATGTGAGCCAGTCGTTGTCAGCTCTCTGCATCGCCTAAACTTATCACGAATCCCTCTCGTGAAGATCGCAAGGAAGCACATGGCCGACTTTGAAGCTTCAAAAGCAACTTCATGTCACACTGTTGTCAATCATGTCACTTGTTTTTCCAACTTTCATTTCCACAATATCCTCACACTGGTTGCTCAAAAAGGCGAAAATATAACAAGGGAAAGCTGAGCAAAAGAGAGTGAAAGAGCGCCTGGGTGGTCATCCATTTCCATCATGATAATCAAACCCAGGCGCGACATCCAATCATGGACTACGACAATTTGCGTGCACGTCCCGTCGCACCGTCTATTTTTAGCAGTGCGTCCATTGTTTTTGGAGCCAACTCCAATCCCCAGCCGTCAGGTCGACGTACCTGTAGCCGCCGGCCGCTGTAGTGTAGCTGGCAGCGGAGGGCCGGAGGCCACCTGCGACGTGCTTCTGATTGGCTGTAACGAAGCATGCCCCCTTGACCCAGGGGCACCCAGCAGCCTGCACGCAACCAGGAGGAGCAGCACAGAAGAAGCGACACTATTCGCTCGCTTGGGCGCAAGAGAGAGATCCAAATGAAGAACATATCCATATCCTTCCATTTTTCGATAGCATCTGAGGAAGCTAGGACATCCATGTGAAGGGCTGAAGATAGCACAGGCCAGCAGGGCTCTACGCAGTAACTTTGACTTGTCGCCCCAAGCTGTGGGCTCCTGGAACTGAAGCGTTGCTTCTCTGTAACCATCATGACCGGCCAATGGTGAAGCAGCATGCAGTGTATTCAGCGTGACAGGGCGGATACCAATCGAAGGAAAGGCTGTTTCTGGTTAGAAACCACATCCAAGGTTGGAAAGGCGTCGCCGACGGCCAATGACCCCTGTTTCCGTTCAGGTTCTTCTGCCCTGGTCCCACTGCACCGTGTACCTGCCTACAGTGTGAGAGTGAGCGTCAGAGACCAGCAGGGAGTGCCGTGGGTGCAGTGCGTGTGCTCAACCTGAGGGAGGTGCCTGCGTGGGCGCAGCGCAGCAACGAAGCACTTCTGACACTCCGTCACAGGTCGTTGTCTAGAGGTAGTGTAGTAGAGGTAGCCCTCTGCAGCACCTCTCCACCCGTGCTGTCTGCTTTCTGCACGCTGCTTCCAATTTTGTTCTCTCGTTCACAACGAACACAACCTCACAATTCCACACCCTCTTTCCTTCTTTTCAACAACGTCACGCCAAAGTGGAAGAAATCGAGGCTTGACCGAGGTCGCTTCCAGGTTCCCTCGGCGCCTTTTTTTTTCTCTCCCACATCATTTACCTTTCTTCGTCCCCAGTATCCATCACCCTCGCCTCGGAATTCCAATTCGTTGAATTTGCGACCATTCCCATTTTCCTTCTGGCCACCCACCCTCCTTCGTAATTCACCCATCCTCCACCCCAATTCCTGATCTCCTCTTCTCCTCCACATCTTCCCACCCACCAATCCCTCCTCCACCTTTCAGCCTGCGAACTCGACGAGGAAAGGTTACCATTTACGTACCAGGACGCTAAAAGAGCTTGGACCGCGCAGCACACGCCAAAGGACCAGTCTGAACTGGAAAGCCCAGGACAAAGAAACCTCTTCCCCTCTTCTTCCTGCTTGTCTTTCCGCAGTCCTTCGATTGTCACAATCAACCACGACCCGACGACCGCTCTTCTTCTCCTGCCGTCTCGGAGGCTCTGACCCTACGACCTTTCGACAGACCCCGATAATGATAATGTCTTGACGCTCTAAGGCTCCTTGATCACCAGCCCGTCCTCGCGCAACCGTTCTCTTTTCGTCCGATCTCGATACCCACGAGGCTCCTCATTGCGACTTGTGTGTCGACCAGCAACCACTTCAACCGGCGCTCTTCATCTGCGCATTCACATAATTCATTTCTACCTCGCTGCCCGGCGCCATTGTCTTGGGCACAGGCTTGATTGTTTTCCTTTGGGTGGGATCACAGTTACAAGTCGATACAGTTGGGGAAAGGAAGGAGGATTCAGCAGTGCTGTCCCGGCTTACCCTCAAATTTGGCTGTTAACCCACACCTACGGCCTTATTGATTCATCCGTCTTCGTTCCTATTTTTTTTTAAATCACCAGGAGCGGATATCTAAAAGTTCTTTAGTTGTTTTTTCGGACAAGCTTAACTGACAGGATCCTTTTCTGCGATATCGACATCGTGGTTTGCGACTGGACCGCAGCAAGCGAGGGTCAAGTCTAGGCCCACACCAACACAACGGCCACAGTTGGCCTGTTTGCACACACCAGGTATCGAACATGCCTTCGGCCACGACGCGGCGGTTGTATGAGGATCAGATCCCATCTTTCATGTCCGTGTATGACCTGGGCCCAGAGGGCATGGACCAACAAAGTGCCATCACCGTGGTCGACCCGCAGTCAGTGATGCACCTCGAGTCCGAAAAACTACCCGGTGATACACAGCCAGCCCAACTACGATCAAATGCAATGCATGCGGATGCTGCCCACAACCATCACAACAGCACGTCAAGCCGAGCAACCGAGTCGGCTGAATCATCGCCTACTACGACTGTGTCTTGTACGGATTCTTCAGATCTTTCCGATCCGTCTCCGTCATCTTCCCCGGACTCGCCAGTGAACCTAATACCTCTTTCCACCTTGGCGCCAATGCAACCCTTCACAAGCGACTTGTCTCGCATGGCCAGTCTCTCGGTATCGGATCCCAACCTTGGGCAACGCCCCATGACCTCGCCTGCGCCGAGGAGACCCAAGAACATGAAGGGTCTTTCCATCCAACCACCCTTCAACTCCCTTGCTTCCTCTCTGGTTTCCGAGCCTTCATCTCCATCCTTCATCAAGCCGACAATTCCTGGCATGAAGCGGAAGCCAAGCCTGCTTAGCCTCAAGACGAACACTTCAGAGTTGATGAATCGCACAACATTAGAGGTGCCCCCTTCACCTTCGGTCCCTCCCATCCTCCAGCGCCGTGCATTGAAGCATTCCGCCTCGACCCCTCACATGCTCTCTGGTCTGAAGTCTGCAACGTTCGGTCCAGCAGGGGGGATGACAATACCGACTGTATTGGAGCGCAATGAATCTGGACTGTCAGAATTCTTCAGGCCATCGAGGCCATTGGCACCCAGTGGCTTGAGCTCTACCATCCTGGAGGAAGAGGCGCCAATCAAGGCACAAGTTGCGAACAAGGCGATTTACGAGGTTGACCCGTACCATGAGGTGGAGAATAACGAGGACCAGAAGTCGCCTGGCTATCCCGATGGGCCAGTATGCATTTACAACGATAACGTTTATTTGTACCTTGAGCCCACCGCGGAGGAAGCTGCTCGCTTTGATGTGGTCATCAACGTGGCGCGCGAGGTCTCGAACCCGTTCAAGGTTGGGATGGGAAGTAAACAGGATTCGAACTCCCAAGGGAGACCAGATATTGACTCGCCAGTACCTGATACTGCGGCGACCACCTGTAGCTTTGCCACAGCATTCGAGTTTATCCCAGAAAGCGATACTCCAACTCCAACTACCCCTAAGGCTCAGTCTCTCAAGGAGCCAGAGTACATTCACATCCCATGGGATCACAACACGGATATTGGAAATGACTTGATGACGCTTTGCGAAATGATCGATAAGAGGACTAAGGAAGGGAAGAAGGTCCTTGTTCACTGCCAGCAGGGAGCCAGTCGATCGGCTAGTCTGATCATCGCCTATGGAATGTATCAGAACCCTGATCTCACTGTCAACGATGCTTATCATGCCGCACAGGCCAAAAGCAGGTGGATCAGCCCCAATATGAGGCTGATGTACTGCCTACAGGATTTTCAGAAGGAGGTCTCAAAGAGGAAGTTGATGACCTCGAGCTTCAAGCCACGCCTGGGAAGAAGCCCCTCAAGGCACAGGATGACTTTGTCAGTCGATAACATCGACCTACCCGTAAAACAAGAGCCATTGACTGCGCCATTACCAAGGGAGGATGTTGCGTCGAAACACGCCACACCTAATCTCAGTCCAACACGAGGCCGAGGGCACTCTACGCCAAAGAGAGGAGAGCCAATATCGCCAGGTCCATCATCCGCTCCTTCGAGCTTTTCATGGGCCATCAAGGAAGACGAGAGGGATCCTGGAAGATTTGGTCGCTTCAACGTTAACTTGGGCATCAAGTCTCCCGAGCCGGATAGGGGAAGGCCATCCACCCCATCACCCCCGTTGAAACCGAAACCTTCTCGCGGACTTTTTGCTCCCACGCTGGCAGAACCTCCAAAGTCACCTGGCTTTGGCCCACCTCTCGAGGCAGCCTTCTCCAAGCCACCACCATCCCCGGGTTTTGGCGCTCATCGGTTCGGTTCACAGGCAGGATTCGGGTTTGTGCCGTTGACACTAGGAGCAGCGCCAACGTTGGGAGCGCCGCCAAAGCGCAAAGTGAGCAAGGATGCTACGTCTCCAGAAAGGCACATGGCTGTGGTGCGAGACTTTGAAGACGCCGCACTCATGTCTCCGCGTGCCGAGACAATGACAGCGAACCCTCTTCATGAGCCCTTCGCGGGCATTCCCGGCATGCAATTCGTGGAGGTGCCGCCCACGCCAGGTGAAGGGTTGTTCTCACCTCGGGAGGCACTGTTTCCCCGCGACACTTGCTATCCGTTTGGGCGGCCAAAACAAGTGGCAGACCCTAGGAGTCCACCAACAAAGGGAGAAACCCCTATTGTTCGGTCTATCGATGAACTGCTATGAGGACGCCGGACAGTCTGATTCGGTCTCTGCAGGGAAAAATCATCCTTTGTATCAATATCATTACTGTACTCATTGGTTCAACATTACTATGCCAAGCATTGAAAGGTGGCGTTTTTTTTTTGTTTTTTTTTGCGAACTTTGTTCTTTTTGTTTTTTTTTCTTGTGTGCTGGTGGTGTGGTTTGGTAAAAAAAAAAGGGTATCAAGGCTCGGGTCTGTGGTGTGGAATGCGATACACGTTTGTCCCGACCTTTTCGCTTCTGCAAATTCCCCTTGATTGGGTGGCCTACTTATTCTATTTTCCTTTGTTCTTCATGTTTTTTTGGGCGCTGTTAAGCCCTCTTCTAGGTTGTTCTTTTGTTGATAGGTTGTTTCAGCCCGACAGGCACACACACACACACAGACACACAGTGGGAGGGAAGGAAGGGCATCGGGGCAACGGATGTGTTCCGATTTACATGGTGAAAGAAAAGAATGAATTCACACTTCTATTTACTGGTTCAATTGCAGTTCCATGGCGCTCCTGTGTCTAGAATACTATGTGCACATCTTGAACATTTGATGTGGACAATGAGGAAATGTCAAACACTGAGTAATCTGAACATGGGAAGAATTGTTGCAGAGATTTGATGGTATCGACGGTATTACAGATCTACTCGGTTTATCGAGAACATGTTGAAAAGACATGCAAACATCAGGTTCGTTACACCTGTCTAAAAATGTTGGAAGACATCAAAACCCAGGCATAAGTATATCAGAATTGACAACTCCTGAGGAATTTAAGTCCACAAGATTTATGCATAATGAATGATGAGTTAGGTGCGGACATGGCTGAAAGGAACAAGTACACGAAGAAACGTGAGGGGCTTTACCTACATATACAACTTGTATATATGTGATGTTTGCCTCTCAAGGCTCCCGAGTGAACGAGTTCCGCAAAATTGTGTCAACCATGTATTCGTATTTCGACTCTAAATAGGTACGTGAGCAAATTTGCCTTGACCTTCCGAATATATATATAAATTCCACGAACGATGCTCATATGACCATTTGTGCAACTGAGCACCGGCACAGATGTATGAATGTGTATGATATCTATGAATACCACATAACAACCTCTTTGTATCTCACATCCTCTAACCTATTTAGACCTAAATCAACTACACCTTTTCATCTATCTCACCACTACCACCCGAAGACTTGATCATTGCGCCTTTCCCAAAGTCGCCTTCGCCTTCCTCTTGGCCTCTTCCTTGGCGAGCTTCTCGCGTCTCGCAATGGCAGCCTCGACACCGATGCCACCGAACACGAGACCGACGCCGAGCCATTGCATTTCAGACAAGCGGTGGCCGAAAGCCACGACGGAGAGGATCATGGTGAACATTTTGCGGGTGACGGTGACGGTGACGAGGAGGACAGAGGAGAAGGTTGAGAGGGTGTGGACTGTGAGATGGGGGTGATTAGTTACGCTGTTGAGAATTCAGGGGGGGGGGGGGGAGGAGTGGGGGGATGAGGAAAAGCAATCAAACAAAAGAAAGAGAAAAACTCACAAATAAAAACCTGGCCAATACACCCACAAAGAGCAAATCCCAGTACATCCCTCCACGCCTCCGGATGTCTTGCCAAAAACGCCAATGCGCCCGCCAGCTCTCCCTCCTGGCCCGTAGCCTGGGCCATGCCAAACCACTCGCCCAGTCCCGTCTTCACCAGCCACGGGGACAAGACCAAATACGCGCCCGTGATGATGGACGACAACAGGTTATTCGCCATCATCATCTGCGGGCCCGTATAAGGCTGGAACGTCTGGAAAATGTAATCCTGCGTGCTGTTGGTCAAGCCATCAAACAACAGGTTGATGCCCAGCAACAACAATCCCCAGCTCGTCTGCCCCGAGTGACTCGAAGCTTTATGCTTCTTGGAGCCCGAATGCAGTGTAAAAACAGCCACTCCCGCCGTCACCGCCGCCACGACCAAGTACTTGTACAGCGGATACCGCTTCCTGAAAAGCGTGATATGCAAAAACATGACGGGCAGCAGCTTGCACGACTTGGCCAGGATATAAGTGATGTAATCGATGTGGCCCAGGGCGGCGTACCCGAACGGAGCGGCGAGCGCGTTGGTGAATGCCACCAAGAGAAGGGGCGGTAAGATTGCGCGCGAGGGGATCATGGCGGGGACTGGTTGGCCCTTGGGGGTGGAAAGGACGGTGAAGAGCTTGCCGCCGAGGGCGGCGAAGAGAGACTGAATCGTTAGAAGGAAGACGGGGAATTTGAAGCGCTCGCCTTTGGAGATCGGAGAGGCGCCATAGTTGGTTGTGGTGAGCTTTTCTTGGAGGTAGGCCCAGGTTAGGCTGTTGGTTTTGTGTTAGTTGCTGATTTCGTGACACAATGCTTCTTGTTCCCCCCTGGGACCGAGAACGGGACCGGAACGACGACTTACAAGGAGATGTAAATGCCGGCAACGTCAATGAGGAGCGTGGCAATGCCGGCTTCCTTCTTGATTGGTACCGCAAGGGATGATGAGGATGGCGGCTTGACACTTCCACTTGCGCCGGAGACTGCTGCTGCTTCCTCCTTCTCAGATGGCGATTTTCGGTCGGCTTTGCTGATATATTCGGAGGATAGCTCCCGCCGTACGGGGGTTGGCTGCTTTGCGCGAGCCATGACGGTGCTGTGTAGTTTTTGTGGCCGATGCCGTGGTATTGTGATTCGCGGTTGTGTGATGATACACTCAAACGGCCCTCAACAAGAGGAAGGAAGGGAGGGAGGGAGGGAGGGAGGGGAAAAAGGGGAGATAAATAACAGAATCAAAGGTCTATCGGGGTCGGCTCGAATATAGACAAGATGTCTTGAACGGATTGGCTGCTCAATCAATTGGACAATGTTGGTCGAGGAAATCTCACGTACAGTAATCATGGAAGACGCTGTCCGTAGAGGTTCTTGTATGTACATCCGTCATCCGGACAGGGTGGCTTTTCCATCAAGCTCCATGCCCCATTTCGTGCGCCCAGCCCTGTCATCCTGTCAAGATTGGCCGGCACATGCGCCGTAATCACCACTGCGCTTTACGCTATCTAACCTTATTTGGTGGGAACCAGGGGTCGGCCTACGCTAGCGCCGCCAGTTTCACTTGCCCTTTTTGCGGGGTCTAGCGTAAGATTCCAGGGGCAGCTCCCCCTGGATCAGAATGTGCCGAAACCGGGGGACATGACAAACCTAGGCATAGTCACATACGTGTAGTGTAGAGGGAAGTGCGAAAAACACAACTGGACCAAAAGAGCGACATTTATTGCCCTTCGTTTTTGTGCTATCTATGCCTAACTGACTACCAAGCAGGTTTAAACCTCCACTTAACGGGTGGTTGACGTTCTGGCCAGATCCCAGCACTTTGTTATAGTTCCTGATCATGGACACCACCTCAGGACTGTCGTATGTATCAGCGCAGTAAAAAAAAGATTCGGTGTAAGAGATGGGAGAGGCCTCGGCGGTAGTGCTGAATGCTGGAAAAGCACGCCAACAGGCTCGGGTGATGAGATGCGGGAAAGATGTTGAACGGTGTAAGGAATCGCATGGATGTCTGCTGCAAACACGCCGGACTATCCCATGTCGATGCTGGAATCGGCTCGTGGGATACAAACAACGACACCAAGTCAAAGACAAGGCTTGTAGTCTGAGTGCCCTCACACCAAAATTTCCACCACCCAGGCCAGCTTGCGCGGCCTATCTAGGCAAAAAGTGTGAAAACTGGCGAGATAAGGGAGGTGTTGCCGAATACAATGCGGGATAGGGAATGACCCAGTTCGTAAAGGAGAACCGAAAGTGGTCCGTCGACTATGCTTTTGATCAAGAAACTGTCGTCCTGTTGTGCTTCCTGCCACAATTCCGAGCCTTGCGGGCTGTCATTTTCGGAACGACTCATAACAAGGGGCTGCCGAACGTTTTCCTTTAATGTAAAACAACCTGGGTAATGTGGTCAAATAACTGAAATACTGCCGCCATCAACTCTTTCAGCAAATGAAAGAGTTTTGTTGGCTACAGCCTCGCGCCATATGATTCCTCCGCACTCTACTCGGAAGGCTCCTGAGCTTGCTGAGAGCGGCGCGTCTTCTCCGCCTCCAGGTTCTCGTAGAGGAGGTACAGAGCTGTCTCGTTGGCCTTGGCGGAGCCCATAATGGTGAACATGCGCTCGCCAGATTCGTCATGAGGGCCCTATTGGTCATGTTAATGGCCGTTTCACAGTCAACATATAAGAGGCTCATCACTCACCTTGGCAATCGAGATGCGCGCACCAGAGGCCTTGCGAATTTCGCTAATCTTGGTGCCTTGACGTCCAATAATGCAGCCAACCATATCAGCGGGGATGCTGATGTTCTGGGTCTGGAGTTCCTCCCCGTTCTCATCATGGGTAGGAGGGCCACGAGAGGCGGCGTCGGAATCAGAACGACGGTTGTAAGGGCGTCCACCACTGTTGCTGCTGAAATCGGCACCATTGCCAGTCCGTGTGACACGGGAGCTACCGTACGACCTTTCCTGGGGATAGTTGCGATCGCCGCCGAGAGGTTGGCCACCGCCGCGGACAACAGGGTTGTACAAAACGGTGCCGGTGCCCCGCTGCCAGTCATCGACCAGGCACTTGCAAATCTCCCAGACAGCGCGCTGAATGCCCTCGGGAGTACCCTGCACCTCAACTACGCGTTCGGTTGATTGCGGCAGCATCTCCTTCTGCGCAACCATGCGAACGCCCGAGACATCCTGGATGTGCTTGATCTTGAGGCCTTGGCGGCCGATGACTGTGCCCATCTGGTTGTGGGAGATGAGCAACTTGATGGCTACACATGAGATTAGCGGTGCTCAAAGCATTTCAATGGGTTCAATCGTACGATGAGTGCCGTTGGCAGAGATGACGCCACCCATGCCAACAGACGGGGCGCCTTCGAGAAGGGAGCGAGCGACAACAGCGTACGCCTTGGAGACAGCATCGCAGCCTCCGGTAATGGTCAGGACGCGGTCATGAACACCCTGGACAACCTTGCTAACACCAGCCTTGACGCCAGTTTCGTCACGGAGGTTGGCAACATTCTGGCCGCCCTTGCCGATGATCACACCAGCTTCTTTGGAAGACACGATAGCTCTCAGAGTAAGGGTAGTCTGGGCGTATTCTTCGTCGGTTCTGGGGGCAGGCTCGCCATCGGGACCGAGGCGAGGCTCATTGTCATCGAGCTTGAGGTGATCGAGGTTCTCCTCGATGCTGCCACCGTTGGCCGGAATGGGGTCTTGGCTGGCAGACATGATGTATGCCCGAGAAGGTGGGAACTGAAAGGGCTGGGACGACGTTTGAGGAGTAAAAGTCTAATCTGGATGGAGGAGGAGAAGATTAGTAGACGAACTACCTAGCTTGTAGACAGGTAGTTGTTCACGTTGGGAGAGGGAACTGGATTGGGGTGGTTTGACTTGATGGCCGAAGGTGGTGTTGGGGGAAGTCTGGCCAAAGTCAGTGGGGAATGTGACAAAGAAAAGCTCAAGCTCTTGTTGCTGCACCCCAATATCGGCAGGAGCCTTAGGTAAGCCACAGGGTAAACGACAGATGGAAGGGAACCAACGGTACAAACTTGAGGACCAACAGAACAGATGCACTTTCTTTGCTGGAAACTCGAAATCACAGATCAGATACTTGGAAGTGATGGAAGGCCGCGAACGCAGCAAAACAGAAGGACAAATGGTGGGCCGTTGCAGAGCTGTCCCTGCAGACGGTGGAGTGGGCGGCTCCCTAGTAGCGGGGCAGGCAGGTCCGGGGGCCCGGATGCACGTACCTTTTTTTTTTGGGGAGGGTTTGAGCGGCAGGCAAGCACTCAGCTACGGGACTGATGGTCTATAGAGTTCTAGCTGAATAGTACAGACAGGGCGTGTTAGTCGAGGCTACCTCGAGTCACTATCAGAGACTGAGGCTCAGAGCGTGTGGTGGATGCAGTCCGTAGTCGGAATGCTGTCGGTTTCCTCCCTCACCCATGCCAAGGAGGTCAAGGGCAACCGGGGAGGCGATGCTTAGGTAGGTTGTTGCTTTGAAGTGGAAGCGTTGGGCGAAGGAGAAGACTCACACTCAGTAGATCAAAGTGCCGGGGAGGGGAGGAGGAGATAAGAAGAATGTCCGGCAACGGGGAGGTGAGGAGGGACGGATGGAGTAGAGATGTAGAGAGAGGTAGGTAAAGAGGAAGGGATTCGGAGCGGATACAAGAGGGGCGTGAAAGGTTGAGGTGGGAAGGTGTAGAAGAGAAAGAGGTAGAGAGAGAAACAGAGAAGGTAGAGTGGGAGGTGGAAAAAGTGGACGGGAGGGATGATGAAAGACGGTTAAATTTCACACTAACAAATTTGGAGAACGACGCCGGGAACTTGGATGGAAAGACGACGGGAATCGAGCAAAAAGAGGAAGAGGGGTCGACACAGACGGGTATGTAGGAGAGTGGTGGCAGCCCCATGCCCTGGTGCAGGGAAGCTCAGGAGCTCTCCCCTACCTCCCCTACCTCCCGTCCAGACACGCCTACCTCTACGCAAGGCACCTCTACGGCTGGTAACAGCCTGGGGTCGGTACCACTACACTACCAGGGCATCCATTGCATCCCTACCACAACAAGGTCGAAGTACCTTACTGCGATGGAACATGCAATGGCCAAGCATGTCAACGAACTTTGCCCAGTTCTGATGCCCGGGGATGTTATTTCTGAAGCTTCTGCATCTGTGTACTATTCGGTCACTTATCGATATCTCCCATCAGTGGAAGCAAACTTGAAGCAAAAGACACCACAATGCCATGCCATGACGACAAGAGCGTCCACAGCTGAAGTGGAAGTGATTGACACTTGACAGTGACTTCATTCCCCGCGTTGTGCTACGCCTGTCCTGCATTCAGTGGCTGCTTCTGGGCAAATCTGATGGCGTTCCCCACGGCAAGGGCAGGCGGGCAAAGTCTCTGGAAGGTGCCTTGTACCTGTGGCCAGCTGCCGGTAGGTTCCTAGGTGTCCTGTTTGCGTCGTTCTCGCCATCAAACGTACCACACAATCACAACCTCCGCTGGCCAGAGTGATGGATACCATCAGAAGAAGAGTCCTAGGTCAACCCATGACAGACAATAGTATTAGAATATGCTGCCTTTATTTTTCTGCATCCGAGTAACGTCAAATCATCCATTCTTCATCTTACGCTGATGTTTTGCTAATACCGGAGTACCCACTTGCGCAAATGACGAGTGTTTGATAACGAGATAGTGAAGAACGCCGCTGTCCAATGTGTTCACTAACACACTGACGGCTCTTGAACCAGGAGGGCAGGTAAGTACATGTCGCATAGGGGAACTGCCCGCCCTCTTCCAAAGACCCCACTCGAACTTTCTCAACCTCCAAGTAGGTCTCTCCAGGTTTGTTCACATCCACATCCACTTCCAACTCCTGAAACTTCACCATTCTACCTAGATAGCCTCATCTCCGTCTTCTCTGGATCCAGATCTCCCTACCTTGTGGTTTTCGAATGAAATCTGGGTTTGGCCAGAGTCAAGTTACACAAAAATATGTCTGCCTGCCACCCGAAAAGTCCACGTTAGACTCAACCGCTCCCGTCGTACTTCCAGTTGAGGTTGTACTGTCCTCCAGTTCGCTGTAGTGGTGGTCTTGTTGGTGCTGTTGTCATTTTCCTTCTAATTCCTTCATGTTCTACTCGCGTGTTGTTTATGTGAGAGGATTACTCGTCTCGAAGCCTCCTCGATCATCAACAATGAGTTCCATAGTCACAATGGGCCCGCCTGTCAACAAAACGACAGGACATTATCTCGATTTCTCTCCGCAATCAGGAAGAACGGACATATGCTGTGCGACTCGATTCTGCAGCCGTAGGCAGCCGACGAGCGGGCAAGGGAAGTAGGACGAGGATTGTGATCCTGAGCGGCTGCCACGGCAGATGAACAGATGTGTGGTATTTGAACGTGTGTGGTTCGAAAGAGGCCTTGGAGGGTTAAGAAGCTTTGCTCGGCATGTAGTAATGAGGTAATTGAGTTACCGGCGAGTGTCCTGGTACAGGAACGAACTTCCGACAGACAATGGTGGATAAGTTCACATGAGACGTCTGGATCCTAGGAATAAACTATTCTTCTTCTTAAGCAGATCTTCATATGCGTACAGCAAAACGACTGCTATTCTATGAATACAGGAAAGCAACTGACAGATACGCTAGAAGGACGGCAAGTGCTTGAAGTGACCGTTATGATAATGATCAAGCAAAGGATGAAGACGAAAAGAATAGGTTGAATAACGAATAAATCCCGAGAAAACACGAATATTGTTCAACCCGCGTAACCTGTCCCGAAAAGGTCTTGGCGCCAGCTTCTTCTTGTTTCCTGTCTCTTTTTCTCTCCCCCCCCCCC